ATATCACTGTATATAATAGAAGTAGAAATTATTGCAATTAATGAAGATGTAAAAGAATTTGTATAGATAAAAAAATCTTATTACTAATCTGAAAGAATAATCAAAAATTAAATTATTTATTTCTATTTTTTATTGTGATAATGAGAATAGAGTAAATTGAATAAATGAAAATAAGTTTTACAATAAGATAAAGTATATTCAAATTAAATAATATTATATTTATAAAGATATAATTGATATAAAGTGAATATATATAGTATAAATCCCAAAAACGGAACAAATAATAGATATATTTATAAAACAATTTATTTATCTAATATTTTGTATTTATAGTTTGGGATTAGATTTGGATTTTGAAGAGAAGTAAGAGTACTTTTATATTACAATATAATAAACTGAATTATAGAATAGTCAAATTCTATAGAAAATTAAATATTATAATAATAACAGGGCTATGGATTGTTATAGAATGTGACCAAAAGGGTATAAACAGGACTCCGATTGTGTACTTAGAATCTACAAGTGAAGAGCTATGTAGGGTGCTAAAAGGAGGACTATATATACAGGTATTGGGAGCCATAAGGGCTAGGCCCAAAAGAGTGAAAGAGTCCTAGAGATAAGCATCGTACGATGCCTAGGTCTAGAGCTATAGAAAGGAAGGTCCAAGAGAGCCATCGTATCATGCTACATATGTAGTATGAGCCAGTGGGCGGAAGAGAGCCGTCTGTTCCGTCACATAGAAGTTAATAAGATTTTGATAATTGTGTAAAAAGATTATTTTGTAGTATATACTTCAGGATGATCAAGGTTTTGATTATAAGAAGGATGTTAGAAAGTTATGGATATTATAGATATCACAGTATTACCCCTTTTCTATATTCATTATTAGTAGATATCTTGTTTATTTATATACTCTATAGCATAGCTTAGATTCTGTACCTGAATATAATCTACACACACTTCTGACAAAAAATTAGATATTCAGATTTATTCGTTTTTAATGAATTAGAATATATGTTTTATATATATTTAAAGTTTTGTACTAATTTATATTTCAAAGGGACAACCGCTTGCACGGGACAACCGCTTTCCCCGACTGGGAATCAGATGGCCGCTCCATGAAGAGCCAACTATTACAGGAACGGGGTGGGGTGCGAGTATATGAGTATACCTAGGCTTAAATTGGACTTGGACTTGGACTTAAGACTATGTGTGCACTTGCTACTGTATCTATTTCACGACAAGAGGAACTTGAAGACCTATCTATATTCATGTATTGTATATACAATTTGATTGAATGTCTTATATCATTCATATACTTATCTATCGATTGATCCAAATATAGATCCCATCGATATGCAATTTGAAGGCTTGCTTGCTTGCTGAGCCAAACAAGAAAAGAAAAAAACGCCATTTTAATCCATCCCATCATCAACCTATCTATCAATCATTTCTCTTTCCCTCATCATCTAAGCAACCCCACCCTGCTGTCCCTCAATACCACCCATACCACCAAGTTGTTCCTCTACACCACCAGTCTCCTCACCCTTCTCAATCTTCGTTGCCTTTACATCCATTCCCTTATTCGCCACTTGATCCACGCCCGCTACCAGAGTACTGTATGGTCCTTCCACAATCTGTACATCGGCATCTCTCTGATCTCTCCTTCGTACACCACTTGCACCCGCACCCTCCAATCCACCATCAACATCAACCTTGATCTCTCCATCCTCGACTTTGAATCCCGGCGCGACTTCTTTCTTGGTCTCCCCATCCTTCAAGTTCCTGAGCTCCGCCTCCCTTTGAAATGCAATGGAATTATTGACCAATGGTGTAGTGTCATCGAAAATTCTCAATAACATTGCACTTCTATCCTCTTTTGCCAACATCAAGTTAAGAGAATGCATGCTTCTCCACAAAGGAAGTACCATTTTCTCGGTAAAAGCATCTTCGCCTTCACCAGGTTCGATTCTCAAAATACAACATCCCATTCCAATATCTCTAACTCTTTCTCCAATCTCTCCGAGTTCTTTCCACGAGTCACCTGATACTTTGGGGAACATCTCAATTAAGAGAGTGCGGAGTGTTTCCTTCTTGGTCAATTTGACCACTCTTCCCTCTCCGACGTAGCCTTGCAGAATTGGCATACCTTCAGATTGGATACGCCATCTGCAAACACCCTCGCCCTGCACATCTTGCTTCATGAACATCTTGACACCAGCATGAATGAATTTGATTCCTTTGCCCTCATTCTCGCTCAAAATATCTCTAATCAGTGCAGTTGTGTAGTAAATCGTCTTGGCCGGTTCACCTGTGGCATTTCTCACCAAGAATCTATCTCTTGGAAACCTCCCACTCAATTTGTAAAAGGATTCGATGTCAGAAACCTGATCATGGTCACCAGGGATATATTTGAATGCCTCTTCATATGCTTGGTTTTGGCCGTATTTGTTAAGAGGTTTCTCTGGTCTTGAATCAGATCGTTGGTCGCCTGGGCGAGTTGTGAGATCTAGTTCTGCAGCTGGTGGTGGTGGATAGTGTTCCGTGTGGCCTCCGGTGGGTGGTGGTGATGCATGGCTTTCTGTGTCTTCTGTCTTCAACTTTTTGTTCTCGATAGCGCCGTTAACTTCGGGGTCTTCAATTTCTGAAGCAGGACGTTTGGAACCAATAGTATGGGTTGCATCGGATCCAGGTTGTTCTTGATTTTGACGTGCTACAGGTGTAACTTCGTCGAGGGTGGATGAGGTGGGATGAGTAAGTTGATCAGCTGCCTCAATTTTGGGGGCGACACTTCCGCTATCCACTGGAGTAGTAGCAGACTCGATCGCATCAACGATTGCTGTGATGGGAGGTTTGGGTACAATCTTCTTGTTTTCCGATTCTGGCTTTGCTTTGAACTCTGATTGTTTCTCCAAGATTGTGATGAAGAAACCACCGGTATCTTGCAAATGTGCATAAACACGCATGCATTGATCGAAAGGAACGCTTGACATAGCTTCATCGATTGGTGAAAACATTCCCTCAACCAACTTACTCGTGCAATCTTCTTCTCCATTGTCTGCAATATGCTTTTGCAGGTGGGCCCAGGAATTCCAAGCACGACCTTTCTTGTCCATGACAGTCCATGTCTTCAATCCTGGCCTTCTCTTAAGCAAAGGTAATTGGTCATCGCTATTGATCAATTTAACCTTCTCAGGACCACCACATCTTTCAATGGCGGAAGCAATGACTGCTTCGTTCTCGATGGGATTCATGCTGCAAGTGGAGTAGACAACACGCCCACCCACCTTGAGCATTTGAAGAGCCCTAACTAGAATGCGAACTTGGGTAACATAAAGTCCAAGTGCATTACTCGGATTCCAATCCTTCCACAGATTCACATTCTTTCTAGTCGTGCCATCTCCAGAACAAGGTACATCGGCCAAAATTCGATCAAATTTAAGGTATCGATTGGTTGCCGGGTTTTCTGGAGTAGCTGGAAGCTTGATTGATGGATACATGGTAGCATCATGATTTGTAACGATGAGATTTGGAGATGAAAGTCGTTTGAGTTGATGAATCAACATGTGACTTCTCTTATAGTCGGAGTCATTGGCGATCAATAAACCTGTAGCTCTTCCATCATCGCTGGGATCGAGCTCCAATTCGGCGCTTGCGCTTCCGTCTCCTTTTAAAACCGCTTGAACTCTGGTTTCCTCCCCATGATGTACCATCTCCAATAATTGAGCCGCCTTACTTCCAGGCGCGGCACACATGTCCAGTACCGTCATTCCAGGTCTCAAATCCATAACCAATGGTGGAATCATACTGACAACCTCCTGTCTGCTAATATTACCCACACTCGTCTCTGAAACCAAGAATTTTTGGAACTTAGCAAAAGGAGGAGATTTTCGTATAACAGTCTTTGAAGTCGACATCGCCCATGCAAGTTCATCTGGATACCACGGAACTGGCGCTGGAGGTGTAACCGGACTACCATCGAATTGCTGAATGGCAGTAATTTCGGGGATGTATCGTTCTTTTAATTGCTTCTGTACCGCAATTGCATGACTAGAATTTGTCAGAAAAATGCAATCAGTTAAAGAGGGATTCCATGAGATTGTGACGAGGCAATTGAATGACATACCCTTTCGACCCCGCGAATCGGAAAGAATTTGGCAATTCTCTCTTCAACGCTGCCCAAAACTCCCCCTTCTCTCCCTCCTCTAAATTTAAAAGCCCATTGTAGTATCTCTCGAATTTCTCGTTGGATTTGGGAACGTTTTCGAAGCTGCATCGATTATCAACTCCTGAATCCCTCGATCTTCCCCCACCTCTACCGCCTCGTCCTCGTCCTCTGCCGCCACGACCTCCCTATTGATTGTTAATATTAAGTTTCTCAATTAGAAGAGAGAAAGCAGAAGCTTACTTTTCCACGTTGGCCCATATTGAGTTAATTGGGTTGTATGCGGAATGGGTTTATAAAAAAGTTGTTTGCGCAAGAGCAAGTTCTGTCTGTCGCATAAAAATTAAATGAGAGAGTGCTATTGTACCGGACTAAAGATAATCCGGATGATCCGGGATAGAGAGGAAACCCATCCAAGCAAGAAGGCAAGCTGGTATATGACTTTACCTACCCAATTCCAATACAAGGAGGTAAGGATGATTGATACTGATATATATCTCTTTCAAACCTTGTGATTTGATTAGAAGCTATATTATGATATTGGGAGCAGTCTAGCCCGGAAAAGGTTGAAAATGTAAGAAGATGGGTTTTGATACGATTTCCATCTCCCAACCCAAAGCAATCTTTGATAGGATGAAATCTGATACTTGATAACCAAACCTTGAATTCGAAATGAGTAGAAAAGACCCAAAGGATCTTTACATGTGTGTGTTTGTCAAAGAATTCAGTGGCAACTCTCAATTTGTAAAAAGTAGATCTTTTTAAAAAGTTCTGATACTATCAGAAATATACAGGATCAGAAATTTGAAAATCAAAACTCATGTCCCATAAGTACTACCTACTATCAAGCCAAAGTAGACTATTTTCTTCCTCTGTCTTTCTTACAGCCGATTACGCCATCCCCAGATATGCAATTTTCCCAATAAACTCCCTATGTATTAACACCAAGTCATCTATCCTCCAAAACCCATTACACGCACAATCTGTAACTCGCATAACGACCAGCCGTTTCTGACTTTCTGATGATCTTGACCACCTGCCCTCTTCGCAATCCCAAGTATTTCGCAACTGGATCCGCAGCCTGGATACGCGGAAGTTGAGTATCCTTCAATCTATATCTTGACAACAGCTTGGCCCTCTCTTCCTTACTCAACAATACATGTTTGGGGACCAATTCATGATGCGTAATATTGACCAATAAATCCTGCTCGACGAAAGTTTCAATTCTGGTAGAGGATGCGACGGCGGGAATAATCTTTGCAGCGGGACCTGATGGCGCAACAGGTGCGATGAGAATTCCGGCAGAGAAAGAATTTGTAGAAAGATGCTGGGCGAATGTACGCATTTGTTTGATTCCAATGGATACATCAGATACCATGAGGAATTCAATCCAGATACTGCCAATTTCTGAGGTAGTTGGGTTTGGATTCTCGGGGGTGGGTGCGTTTGCGTATTTAGCAATCATAGCTTCACTGGGAGTTGCGGAAAAGTTCATTTGGCGACGACTAAGAAGAGAGGTTGTTAGCTTATGAGCCTTAAGGGGAAACATACAATGTCATGTGGAGTTGGGAAAACAAATTGAGCAGAATGATTTCAGAAAATATAAAAAGTGCAGGGCGCATACTCAACACTTCCATCGTTACTTGTGAACTTGGCCTTGAATGTGTCAAAGCTCATGTTGACTTCTTCTTCAGCTAGAAGATAACCGCGATCTTGGACCATTTCGTGTACAGTTCTGTAGCATCTCCATAACTTAGCGGCGTCTCTGTCAATTCCATCCCGTTGCTTTTGCGCGCGATCCTCATCGTCAGCCATTATGAAGTTTTGAGTAGTAGGTAGAAGGGGGTATCGGTTTGAGAGTTGCAGACAATTGCGCAAGAAGAAGAAAAGACAATCAGATTCAACTGAGCCCTATTGTAAATCGAGAAAAGATTTTTCGTCAAGAGGAGGAAGGTTGAAGGCTGTGGTGTTGTTGATCGAAAGTAATACCCGTCAATGTAGATAGATAGAAGGGCCATTTGCTTTGCCCTTTGTAAATATTTTGACGCTAGTAGCTCAAAAAAAGTTCAAGAGAGTTGCACGAGGATTTATCATCGGTCACCGTATATTGAAGATCACATGATATTTGAGTTTAGATTTTACTTGATTTAAATCTCATGATTGGTTACTATTACTATTATATAAACTGCATCAATGGTTTTTATATATTCTCTTACAACAATTCACCTATTTTTCCCCTCATAATTCATATATATCCTCGGTCACCATAACAAACTAACTGCTTTTATGCTCATCTGAAGTAATAATCAACTTTTACGAGTAGATTCATTTAGATTCAATTGAATACAACCAATAGATGAGCTAAGAAAAAGTTAAACCTGTTCATCCCACAAGTATACAATAATTTCCTATTATATATTATTTCTCACTCTCTCTCTCAACCTTGTCCATTTCCTCAAGCAACCTTCTTCTTGTATTCATACCTATTTCAAAGTACAGATACCCATACTTTTACTGTGTCCTCTTCCAAAGTGACATTTCTTCTGTTCTTTTGCTATCTAATTGTCTGAACATTTATTGGTTCACCAATTTTTTATCTAAGGAAAATAAAAAAAAAGCTACAGTAGCTTGTCATAATTCCACTAAAAATTATGGTTAATACTATAACCCCCTCGGTGGTCGAGATCAAGGTCGATGAAGGAGTTAAGAAAGAGGTCCAGGCCAGACCAGTTAAGCCAGATGAATCAGCATTTAAAGCAAAATTGGCTCAAGCAGAGAAGGATCATAAACAAAGTCAGGAAAAAGCTGTGAGTAGAGTCTATACATAATGCCCTACCTCTGCACATCGGCATACTGCATTGGCATACTGCATTAGTCAAATTATCAGTAACTAATATGATTTTCTGCAGGCTGCCGCAAAAGCAAAGTTGGATGTTGCCCAACCAAATAAGAATAAGGATTCCCCAGCTGCGAAGCACAGAAGCGAATTGATCAGTCAGTTAAAAGAAATCAAAGAAATTCAAGGTGCTGGGAAGGCTGGCCGTTCACAAGTCTTTGACCAAATCAAGAAGTGGGATGAGCAGGTCAAGATCAAGATCAATGATCAGAAGCTTGCCAAGAGTAAGATTGGATACAAGAATGTCGATGAGCTGGATAGGGAAATAGATAGACTACAACAGCAAGTCGAATCTGGTCAGATGAAGATCGTCGATGAGAAAAAGGCACTCGAAGATATATCTAAGCTCCGCAAGCATCGCAAGAGTTTTGCTGGCATTGACGACACGGAAAAATCAATTGAAGAATTGAAGGCCAAGAGAAAGGCTCTTCAAGACAAGCTTGATGACCCAGAGAGCAAGGCGCTTTCTGAAAAATACTCCAAGATTCAAGCCGAATTAGATGTCCTAAAAGCCGAGCAAGATGATGCTTTCAAGAACTTCAGCACTCTCAAGGCCGAGAAGGATAAAGTCCAGGCCGAGCAACAGGAGAAATGGCTAGCCCTGCGAAAAATCAAGGACGAGCATTACCAAGCTGTCCGAGCTGCCAACCAATTTGATTTCATTCAACGCCAAAAGGCTCGCGAGAGACAAAAGGCCGAGTACGAGAAGCAACAGAATGACCGTAAGAAGGAACGCGCCCAAAAGATGCTAGAGGAGGCCAGCGACCCTGCCTTCCTTGACGAGCTTAGAAACGCCGAATCCGTCCTCCGATATCTCGACCCAAACTTCACCACCATCAAGGCACCGTTACAAGCTCCTTCTGGGCTTGAAGCCTCCGCTGGACGTACCGTAGATGATTCCGGGCTCAAGGGTACTAGAGTCATGAAGAAGGAAACCCTCGAGGAAGATTACTTCAAGGGAACCGGTGGAAAGAAGGGAAAGAAGGGTAACAAGAGAGCCGCGGCCAGTGGATCACCTGCTTCGACTCCACCAGCTTCAACAAAATACAGTTGCCCACCAGCTGTCATGGAGGATCTTGCTAAGATGGGAATTGACCCACCTTTTAGCGCTGCTGATGTCCCAGCTGTTACCGAAAAGGTTCGGTCTAAATTGAACCACTGGAAGGAGGAACAAGTAGCACAAACCAAGCGTGTAAGTTATCAATCCAGGCCCATTCAACATTTGTTTAAAAACTAATATCCAAAATAGAACATCGATAAAGCTCAGAAGGAACTGGAGAGACTCGAGGCAGAGGAGCAATCAGGAACCACGATACCAGCCACAGAAGCCCCAGCAACCAACGGACATGGCGAGACTAAGGCCACCGCTGGCGCAGACGAAGCTACATCCCCTGCAGTGGATGTCGAATTGATCAAGGAGGTTGTTAAGGATGCATCAGTTGAATTGACTGGTGCCGCCAAGGAGGATGCTGAGCAGACTTCTTAGATTACTTATTATACCTATGACCCTATGAATTCCATGGCGTGTGATGTCAAGAAAGGCTCATTTGGGAGTACTGGGAAACAACACACAATGGTATCGGTCTGCTATTATGAATTTGATGGCCTAGTAATGGATAGGAAGGATGTTATTAATAAGAAAGATATCCAAAAGAAATTCATCAACTCATCAATTACTACTCATCTCTCTAGTCGTCTTCTTTCTCATTCTTGTCTTGAGTTTTAATTCTAGTTTCTTTTCTGTAATGTTTTTATTGTAATTTGAGAGATGAAGTAGGTATTTTATTTTATAATATTGTGATGATGGTGATAATGATGATAGTAATGATCGTTTATAAGTTATAGATTATATAGGTATTAATCAATTGTTACTTGAGTTAAATGACAAGATGAGATCTAACAACTTGAAGATGAGATTAGAAAATGAGATGATTTGATATTTTTGAATATAAATCAGCATTAATCAGTAACGAATATAATTAAAAGAATTTTAATTATAGAGAATAATAGATCTTACTTGATTCAACTCATTCGATTTGAATATATATCTATACTTACTATATTCAATTAATAGATAATTTTAATTTTAATACTAGTCTATTATTTTTGATAATAATTATCAAAAAATCGATATTTTGAATTTATATATTAAAATTATTAGTCTTGTAAATAAGTATTCGAAACTTTATAGAATTATTAATTAATATTCAGAGATTTATCTATATTCGAGAATACTTAGTATAAAGTAATATTTTAATATACGAAATTTTGTTTATTTATATAACTTATAAGACTATTATATTAAAGTTTAGATATAGTTATTTATTATTATTATAATATTTATAGTATAATATATTCTATATATAACTTGAAGTAATATTATTATATTAGTAATAAGTATATATAGTAACTTGAATAATAATACTTAAATATAAAGTATAAAAGAGAAAGAAAAGATGAAAAAAGGAAAAAAAAAGAGGAAAAAGAAAGCAAGTACTAGCGGGAGAGAGTCTAAGGCTTTATTTGGATTAGGGTTAGAATTATAATTGAGATTATAATTATAATAATAAAAATAAGAATAGGAATAAAAATAAGGAAAATGATGAGAATAAGAATATAAATAGAACTGAGAATAGGAATAAGAATAGAGATAGAAATAGGAATAAATGATAGAAATAAGAATGAGAATAAAGATAAGAATAGGGAATAAATATAATAATGTCTAGATATCACTCACTTAGCTGTAGTGAGCGGTAGGGCTAAGGGTTAGGGCAATAAGCGACGCTTTGACCATCACGGAGCGTATATCTTTTAGCATTAGCATCTCTATAGTTTAATTCCTTAAGGCAATATAAACACGTGAAATACGATAGTATTATTGATACTTCATCACCACCACGGTGATACCAACAAATAATAATAATAATAATAATAATAGGGATAGGGATAGAGATAATGATAAACTTGAAGATATATCAGATAAATAAATATTTAGGGATAAATAATATTTGTATTAAATCAAAAGGCTAAAACTAATTTTTTATTGTTTGTAAGATTCTTGAAGATTTTGTTATTATTTCGTGATAATTGTGAAGAGATATAATGATATAATGATATGATGATATGAGAGTTGAGGAGATGCATTGAGAGTGAAGGTATCATTGAGATGAGATAGATTAAAGCAATAGTACTCTCCCTGCCCAGTTGATCCAGTACCAGATCCAATATATACAAAGGAGAACATTGATGAGAGATGAATGGTGGAAAAATAATGTCGAGGTAAATTCTTAGCTAAATTCCATCATAATCCCGCTTCGAAACCCAGGAGGTGGCTATGCAAGGCAAACTTTTTGGCCTGATGCCTAAAGACGACAGACTACCACCTCATTTGCACCTGGCATCCATTAACCCCTACTCATGAAATGTTGTGGCGATATCATACGCACAGCTGAAACCTTCCATTCTTTCCCTTTATTTCAATATACCATTTCCTCTTATCCAAAGAGAAAGATGTTTCGTCGTCAATCTCAATATGGATTGACATAAGCATAGCCAGGCGTGGGAGCATATTGTGGAGGACCCCTCGAGTTCCTCTGTGGATTATGTGCAGGTGGCATATGTGCAGGAGGCATATGCGGACCTCCAGGCGGCGGTGGTGCAGTCATCGGTCGACTCCTCGGTTCAGCCCTCATACTATCTCTTCTTTGTCTCTCCACATGTCTTTCTCTTTCACCAGCCGGCGTTCCAATTCTCCTCTGTTCCCTCCTTCTTTCCCTCTCTTCTCCTCCATCCGAAATAGCAGGCGTAGATCCCCTCTGCGGCGGACCCGGTTCACTCAATCTCACCTTCCTTCCTCCACCCCCTAGTGCCGATAATGGCGGATCTCGAACTCCGGGTTCCTCATCACTTGGTAAAGTTAGTTCTACCAGGCTGAAGAAATATTCAAGGACTTCGGGGTAGCGTTGGACGCTCGCGCGCCAATCTTCGTCGATGCCGCGTTTGAGTTCGGCATCTGCGGCTGCAGTTTCGGAGGGGTGAGGACGGGCGTTGTAGTAGTAGGCTGCTCGTTCGGTTATGCGGTGGATCTGGGAGGCGTGTTCGTCTTTGCGGCGGGTGGTGAGAACACTGAAGTAGTTGAGAATGTAATCTTGAGCGTGGCCACGGACCCAGGTTCTGTTTGGGGAAAATGATTAATTATGTACTGGTGGAGAAACAATTTAGGAGAGAGGATCCCTTGACAGAGTAAGGGAATGAGAAGATGATAGTAAGGTTTATGAATAGGGAACAGGAGGGGCAGGAGGGGTAGAAGAAGGGACAGTACCTTATCTCAGTATAAACACTCGCCATCATTCTCTGTTCAGCCTGCCTCACAGCGACGGTAAGGCCATTGGCTTCGCACTCGCATTTTGCCATGGCTGGCTGAGAACATATGGCGCAATCTGGATCCATGATCTTGAGGTTCTTGTTATTTCTGGCGTTTTTGATTAACATTATGAAGGGGGATCATCTAGTGTGAATGAGGGATGATAGACAAGCAATGGGAGCTAGTGTTGAAGTGAAAAGAAGTGAAAGAGACAATAAGGGTGATGAGGGGTTGAGGCTCAAATGAAAAAGGGTACATGTGTGAGAGAAGAAGAAGAAGAATGAAAGAAGAATGAATGTTTAGGGTCGGGGTGGTGAGAAGTGATTGAAAGAGGGGGGAGAAGGGGAGAGGGGGGGATGATGACCACCCCATGGTATGTGATGGATAAGAATATGGGGACGAATGGTGAGGTATCGTACGGTATGTAATGTATGTATCTATGTATGTAGGTAATAGGTAGGTCGCTTGACTTGACAAGACAGGACGGAAGTCGAGATATTGGGAGGATTGGGGATTGGGGATTGGGGATACCTATCCGAATATTCAAGTATCCAAGTATCGGATTCTCTGGCTCGCTGGCTTGCTTTGCAGTGCAGTGCAATGCAGTGTAGTGCAGTTGCAGTTTGTGTGGGGTAATTGAAGTGATCTCAAAGTTAACTAACCTTTGTAAGTGTATTTTCCCTCTCAGCTACCCTCTCGATTCGATACAGCGAGTCCCGGATCGTTGGATATGAAACGGATATGAAACTATATAATGCTATTCTTGCTTGCTGGCTGGCTGGCTGGCTGGCTGGCTGTATTTTTCCGGAGCTGTAGTGCAGATATTCGATTTCCACGATAGAGAGATCACGCTACGTAAATTTCTGCACTATTCAAATGGAAAAGATTAGAATGAATATGAAGATGCCACGATTGGTAATGCTGGTATCGAGAGAATCGTAAGATATGGTAATAGACGTGTACGAGGAGAAAAGGGTAGTAGACGTGTACGAGGGAAAGGGCATATATTTGAGTAACGGACGGAAGATAGGAAAGATGGTTTTGATTAGATGTGATGGGAATATGAAGAGATGGGTTAGGGTAAGGTAGTTGGCATGAAAAGGAACAGGAGTTCTTTGGAATTCAGACGACAAGAAATCTTACGGAGATTTGACAACTAAAGATGCGGAAAGGGAAGGACGACAGAGAAGGAAGAGAGGCAGAGAGAGAGGGTGAGAGAGAGGAAAAGTGAGATGTCGTTAACTAGATTAGATTCATGTGTGCAAGGTGGTCGTGCGTATGGAATGGATGGATGAATGGGTTCAGATTATTTTTTGGGTGGGGAAGAATTTGGGAGAGAATCGATTCGTGATCAGTTGAAGTTGCATGAATAACTATAATACTGCTTTAGTAAGTTAGCTCTACTATATCTATCTATGTATCACCACTTATATCTACCATCTTTTACCCTTTTGCTACCTGATCACCTACCATCTACCTGGAAAAAGATTAAACCTTTACCACATCATCACACAATCGACGCCCCAGAAACTACCAACGCAGAGTGGCATATTGTGGATCATTCGCGAGAGGCGGGAGGCGAGGGAAGGGGATCCCCCTTCACAACCCAAAGGGAAATTGAAGTAGGGCATGATTTGAACTCCATGGTATAGGTTTAAAACATATGTATAGTGAGTGCACTCCATAAAACGTATTCCGTAGGTAGGTAAGTGTTCCAAGTGTTGATACTCCAGCGGAGTGTGGTGTGCAGGTTGTCGTGGCTCGAATGCTTTGATGTGACTTGCATCTCGTGGTTAAAGAATTGGAGGCGAAATGCATGAATTGTTGGTCAACTTGAAAATGATATCCAATTGGGGGGGAGGAAGGGTCTGATTCATGGACATCCTTTAGTAGATAATGAGTACAGTAGATGGAAAGCCTCAATGTAGCTAGGTAAGGTAGGGTAAGGTAAGCGATAAAGTAGGTACGGTATTGAAATAATGGAGGATCTGGATCTGGATCTCGTCCTAGACCAAAGAAGATAATGAGGCTATCGGGAGTTCGTGAAATGACCAATTGAAGATGATAGAATTACAGTCTCATAAGAAGGCGGTTTCTTAGGAGAGTCTAGAGACTTATCAAAGTCGTTGTCTGCTCACCGCTTCTTCGCAGTAAGGTTAGTATCGCGGCAAGAGGGGAAAACCAGCTTGATCGGTATATTAAAGGTTATATTTGTTCCACGTACACCAGAAATGGTAATTTTGAAGATATATATGATTCGATCATCTCAAGAAGAAATCATTTCAATAAATCCAAATACTTACCGAGATTTTAGAAAAAGGGGCTTGATAACTTACTTGATCATTCACCTTATTTCACACTTCTCAATTCATCGGTAAGTCGGTAGGTATCATATACATACTACGGTGACCGAGAATTTATTATTTGCATCACAATATCCCTAACTCTCTCTCTCTCTGGTCTTCCCTTTCACAACTGCACTGCACTGCAAATAAACCTGCAAGCCAGGATTTGATATCGTTCGAGATGCCTCCACGTTGTTCGACTGTGCAAGGCACGTTGACTCCATTTCTCTATCCATTCCTATTTTCGAATACATCTAGGTTGATCCAAAGAATTCCTCGAACTTACATCAATGCCGTCCGAAGACAAAGTACCTTAGCCGAAGAACTTGCCTCCGAATCGACATCCGAAGAAATCGACCGTCTTAATCCCCCTCCCTCTGATTATTCTCGAACAATATTTGCGGATAAAGCGAAAATAGACATATTCGCAGGCCCTGGTGGACATGGTTGTATCTCTTTTCTACGAGAAAAGTATATCGCTGCTGGTCCTCCAAACGGAGGTGATGGAGGTACGGGCGGAAACATATACATACAAGCTGTGCGCGGCGAAACAAGTCTGCATAAGCTTGCAAGGCGGCGGAATATAAAAGCAGGCAGGGGAAAGAATGGTCAAGGCAAAACGAGAGGTGGAGAGAGAGGCACTGATATCATTATTGAAGTGCCTTTAGGTACCATTGTACGAGAAATCGATCGACATGATCCTGCGGGCATTGAAGAAGACAAAAATAAGTTGGAGGCTGGTAAACAGGATGGGAAGGATTTAGATGGACCTCAAAAATGGGATCGAGACAGATGGTTACTATACCCCGCTATTACACCTGAAGAGATCGCTACTGCCGATTTTCCTTCATTTCCAAAACCAAGATTGTCAAATTTAGCAGCCGCACAAGTTAAGGGTCCTATTACGTTGGATCTTTCTATGCACATGGAAAGACCATTGCTCTTGGCCGCCGGTGCCGTAGGAGGTTTAGGAAATCCTCATTTTAGCACAAGACAAGTCCCAAGACCAAAGTTCGCAACCAAGGGAGATGCTGGACTACGAATTACTTTAGAGCTCGAACTCAAGCTTCTTGCCGACGTGGGACTTGTTGGACTTCCCAATGCTGGAAAGAGTACTCTACTGCGAGCTATGAGCAATAGCCGAACGAGAGTGGGAGACTGGGAATTTACCACCCTAGAGCCAAACATTGGGACTGTGATTATTGACGATAACAAGGGGCGGCCTCTAGCTCAAGCGAAATATGAAGACGGCGAAGTCAGAACGAACTTCACCATTGCAGACATTCCGGGATTGGTCGAGGATGCTCATTTGGATCGAGGTCTTGGTATAAGTTTCCTGCGTCACGTTGAACGAGCTCGAGTTCTTGCGTTTGTCGTGGACCTTGGGAAGGGCAATGCTGTTGAGGCTTTGAAAGGCTTATGGCGAGAGCTGGCTGAGTATGAGCGAATGAAGATTGAGGAGGAAAAGGAGAAGGTCAACCCCGTAGTGGAGTGGACTCCCTTCACGTCTGTCGAAGATGCAATGGCAAATCGACCCGAAACAATCGTCATGAACACTGGACCTACCTTTGAGAATCCCCTCGCACCTAATCTCCCTTCGATTTCAAATAAACCTTGGTTTGTGGTTGCTAGCAAAGCAGACTTACCTGGTACTCGGGACAATTTCCAGGAGCTGAAGTCGTACTTGGGGGAAGTTGCAGCCGGAAATGAAGAGCATCCTTCCAGACATAAGAATCCTTGGACGGGGACAGTAGAGGTCATCCCCATCAGTGCAATCAACGGACATGGCGTAAAAAAGATTACCGAGTGGACCGTTGGTCTTCTTGATGGATGATATGATATATCGATATATCTACGGATAGAGGCATGTATAACATTATCATGCATATTAATGATTGATTCATGTACAGAATCTTTGGATGCCTATCATTCCTTCCCATAATAATATCGAGGTGATCATATACTTCTGTTTTTGTCTTCATGCATCTTTGACGTTTGACATAGTGGGTTATATTCAACGGCTACATCTACTGATGTCTGTCACAATGGCTTATGGCCTGATCCCAAGCGGGGTTTAACTTCCCGTTATGCTGCCATCTGTACCTTTGTCACTCACATCGGGAAATTTCACGGTTGGTATGAGACATTGGAGCGGTAGCGATGCTGTGGCCCGTTTCTCGTGAAACCATATCCTTCAACCTCAACGAACCTCTCGACTCCAGCATCAGATGCATTGGTTTGTACAAGTGTTGGCGGAAGGAAGGAACATTCTTCCTAAGTTCCTTGTCTCGGATTTAAAGTCTAAAGCTCCCGTCGGTAGCGTTCTTACCCTTGAGCTGTATTCTAGAATCGATGATTCGAAGCTATCGGCACACGAAACTATGGATGGAACTTTGATATCTCAACAAAATTCTCCGCAAGACTAGACGATCTGTAACCACTATGAGCACCGAATTACTTGAATAGAGTAAGAACTACTCCTATGGTGAAACAATGAAAACGTGTTTGAAGTATCTCAAAGGCGAGTTGGGATGACATTCCCCATTGATAACTACCTTATTGAGAGCGGATGAATACATGATGGGCTGAAAGGGCTGCCTAGGGAAAAGTGAATCAGAGGAGATCGGGAAAGTAAAGTTCCTCCTTGTTTACTCCGATATCGTTATCGTCCTTGTCGCATAGATATAAAAGTATCTGTTGATCCCATCTTTCGGATAATTCATCTCTCCCACAAACAACAATCAAACACTCCCTCTCGATCTATTCCCATCAACTTGAAATCATTTTACATACACTCACACCTTTTACAATCTTCTTCTTCTATAAAAGCATTGAAACACTTTCAAAGCACTACACTTATCTCCCCCTTTCTACGCATTAAGTTCGTAAAATCTTCTTCCAAGATGTCTGCAACCGTAGCAACCCTCCCTGAACTTTCCCACTCGTCCCTTGATCCTCAAGCACTTGCACAAAAGTACAATCTAGAGCGAGAGAAGCGTATCCGTGAGGATGGACTCACTCAATACAAGGAGCCTACTGGCGACTTTGCCCGCTTCCAAGATGATGCTCTGGTTGACAAGATCGTCCCACGAGAGCCAATTACCGAATCTGCTGAAGTACTCATTATTGGTGGCGGCTATGGTGGTTTGCTGGCTGCTGCTCGTCTTGCTCAAAAAGGCGTCACCAACTTCCGCATCCTTGAAAAAGGTGGCGGATTTGGTGGCACTTGGTATTGGAACCAGTATCCAGGTTTGTGATTTCCCAACCAACTTTCTAATACGCCAATTCTCCATCTTCACACAGTTCGTCGATCTTTACTAATATCCAATTTTCAGGTGCTCAATGTGACATCGAATCTTACATCTACCTGCCCTTGCTCGAAGAGCTTGGTTACGTCCCAACTGAGAAGTATGCTCGCACCACCGAGATTCATAAGCATATCGAGATGCTCGTTGCACGCTATAACATCAAAGAGAAGACAATCTTCCAGACTGAAGCCAAATCCATGAATTGGGATGAAGATGCTCTCTCCTGGAAGACCGAGACCAACCGTGGCGATCATTTCACCTCCAAATTCGCCATCACCGCTACCGGCATTCTCCACAAGCTCAAGCTTCCAGGTCTCGAAGGCATGGAGCTTTTCAATGGCAAATCTTTCCATACTTCTCGCTGGGATTATGGTGTGACTGGTGGTGATGTCAATGGCAACCTGAGCAAGTTGACTGATAAGCGTGTTGGTGTCATTGGCACTGGTGCAACAGCCGTTCAAATGCTTCCTCACCTCGCCAAGGCCTCCAAGCACGTCTATATTTTCCAGAGAACACCTTCCACCATCAACGTTCGAAACAATCAGCCTACACCACCAACCTTTTGTCAAAATCTTAAGCCAGGATGGCAGGAAGATCGAATGGAAAACTTCAATGATCGTATTTCTAATTGTCGCCAGAAAGAAGATCTTGTTGCCGATGGCTGGACTCTCAACCCTGCTACCGCCATCTTGGGTAAGGCAGATGCTTGTACCGATCAAGTAAAACTGGGTCAGATGATGATGATGGCCGATTTCCAACTCATGGAACGTATCCGAGCCCGCGTCGACGAACTCGTCCACGACAAAGAAACCGCCGAGAAGCTCAAACCATGGTATTCTTCCATGTGCAAGCGCCCCTGCTTCCACGACGAATACCTCTCGCTCTTCAACCGCCCCAACGTTCAACTCGTCGACACCAACGGAAAGGGCGTGGATCGCATCTCCCCCGCCGGCGTAATCGTCAACGGAATCGAATACCCCGTCGACATCCTCATCTACTCCACAGGATTCGAAGTAACCACCGCCTACCAGCGTCGCTCCGGCATCACCATCACCGGCCGCAACGGTCTCATCCTCGACGATAAATGGAACATGGGCCCCTCCACCCTCCACGGTTTCCAAACCCATGGTTTCCCCAACTACTTCTTCTTCGGCACCACTCAATCGGGCGTCTCGGCAAACTTCATGTATACACTCACGCAGCAATCTACGCAAACGGCATACATCATCTCCGAATGCAAGAGCAAGAATATCAAGGCCGTAGAAGCTAGTAAGGAGGCAGAGGGAAATTGGGTCAAGGAGATCTTGCGTGGAAGCAAGCCCATGATGAATTATTTTATGCAGTGTACGCCGGGGTATTTTAATGGCGAGGGCTGGGTTGGTAGGCATAAAGAGGTTGGGGCGAAGAACGCGGTGTTTGGGGAGGGGGCTAGTGCGTGGGGGAAGTTGTTGGAGGATTGGCGCCTGCAGGGGGAGATGGAGGGGCTTGTTAGGTGGGTTTAGTTGGTTGGTGGTTGGTGATAGATGGGGTCGATTTTCTTCAAGGGCTTTCTTTTTTTCTTCTCTCTCGGGTGGGAAAGTGGAGGGAGCTTGGCGGGGCCTGACTTCTTCTTATGATGGATGGTAACTGGTTGGTGATGGGGATGGGGATGGGGATGGGGATGGGGATGAAAAGTTTCTTTAGTGGTAAAACTGGTGATAGATATGAATGGATGCAGGGTTGAACTCGGATGGATGGTATAGAATTACTTTATACTATACTCTACTATACTCTACTCTACTATCAAGTTCAAATTCAAGTTCAAATTCCAGTTCCTTCAACTAAGTTCAATCTATCTTACTTTAATTTATTTTACCTGCCAATACTCAAGCTCAAGTCCATTTTCTACATTCACTACTTAATACTTACAGTTAGATCTAATAATTCACGTGTATACAATAGTTGATTATTTATTTAAACGACTCAAACCATTCAAACTCAAACTTCGTTTTGTTTTGTTGGCACTTTGTCTTACCCTTCCCTTCCTCCATACCCAGTCTCAGTCTTATTTTCTCAAGTCCTCAATCTTCAATTTTCCATCTTCAATCGTGATCTAACCTCGCTCGCATCATTTTCTCGTCACTTTCTCATTCCTTCCTTCTCTTATCTTGTAAGCTCTTACCTCCGGACTGTACATGTGTACTCTAGAGATTTTTATTCTTGTTTTTATTTTTGTATGCATTTTTATACGTCTCCCATACATGTAATGTTCTCGTTAAGTGTGATGAGGGCTGACCAAGGTGGATTATCTCTTTTCGCGTGCCGTGGATGTCCTGGGGGAGGTGAGTGGGTGGTTAGATGGGGTTGTGGGGGTTGTGAGGTTTTGTGGGGTTTGAAGGGGTTGGTATTAGATGGGTTGGGATTGAATGAGATGGAATGGTGGTGCGTTAGGGTTATGTTGTGTTATGTGGTATGATATTGAAGAGGAGAGAGAGAGGAAGGGGGTGGTGGGGGGGTAGAATTTTGGGGGAAAGAAAAGAAAGGGATGTAGTCACCATATTCAACAATCTTAACATGTTCCAATGCTTCGGAAATCAAAAAACATCGTTCGTCGGGTAAGATTTTGGAGAGGTAGTAAGCGGCTTTCCAGGGTGCGTCGGGGGTTCCTGGATGGGAAGGGGATGTTAGGGAAGGTGAGAGGGAGAGAGAAGAGAAGTGGGTAAAGAGGGAATATAGGATGGAGTGGGAAGATACATGAGATAGGAAAGGGAGTAAGAACGAGAAAGATTAAACAGAAAACGTACCAGTAACAGAAGAATGAGAACTATTAAAGAGGATTTCGGCTGCTCCGTCCCATTCTCCGGCTTCTAGTTCGGCTGCTAAGATGGGATCGATGGATGTTGCTGACGATGATATGGATAGAGGGCCGTGGATCTATATCTGTTTGTCAGTCCTTGCTCGCTTTATGATGTATCAAACTTTCTGTATTCCTCGCCTGGATAACTGGACCTCTGGGCCATTCTCTATAAAAGATAGTTGACGATGTTTTTTTTCCCTTATCATCACCCCATTTTTGAGTCTCTTCTCTTCTCTTCTTTTCTCTGCTTGCCAAATGCCACTTCTTCGCCTTCCACTTTCTTTTCACCCCCCAACCCCTCCCCTCTCCCCCCCTCTTCCTCGTCGCCCTTCTGTCCAACCTCCTCCACAAGACCCCCCAACAAAACAGAAAAATAAACCACAAATAAACACTACTAACCTGTACATACTCCTCCACTCCCCCTCCCTCTAGAAAATACGGCACAACGAGTTGTGCATGCCTCTCAAACCAATGTTTTGAAAATTCTTCTTTGGTGAGAGAGGGGTTGCGTTTGAGGAGAGCGAGGATTGGTCTGGGGGATTGGGTTGTTGATGAAGTGGTGGTGGTGGTGGTGGATGGCTGAGGTTTTGGGATGGAGGGGATGGATGGTGGTTGGGATTGGGTAGATGTAGATGTAGATTGGGAAGACATTGTGGATTATTTTGAGGAGATGAATTGATGTATGAAGAGAAGAGAAGAGAATAGTAGTATTATATTAGTTAAATAGAATATAAACTTGAAAAGATTATAAAACAAATGATTTTGATAAAGAATAGATAGGTAAGGAAGGAAAAGGGTTGATAGGGACGAAGTAAGAGTAATCGAGAGACAAAGCACCCTTCATTGCTTCAATGAAAAGTACAGTAACTTCATGTGAACCCACACACCACTTTCTGCGCAAAACTTGCTGTGCATATATAAAGAAGCATGCTGACTGTATTCTGTAACCTTACTCAAAATAGTCGAGTACAACAATATCGATTAGATTAGGTTAGCAGCTCGTAGCTCTGATCATATATATGATGTGGAGCGGGTTTTGGGGAATCCACAGAAGGGTGAATTTAAAATGTGAGGGAATCGATGGATATATTTCAATAATAACAAAAAGTTATGCCAAGTATACAAAACCTCTTCACCACTTATAATCCGTTCCACTCTCATGCTCCATCATATCAAAAGCCGGCTTACAAGAAAAATGCCCCGCCTTCTCTGTCCCCACCGTCTCATAAGTATAAGCCGCATCCTCATCCGCAATCTTTATCGTCTCTACCCCTCTCCCTCCCGCCGCTGCATCAGCAAGTAACTGGGCATGACAACATTTCTCCAAACTCGTAAACCAAAATACCGCACTCTCGATAGTCTCTCCACAAGTTAGTAACCCGTGGTTTTGAAGTAAAGCGGCTTTCTTAGAGCCGAGAGCAGACGCAATGGCCTCTCCTTCATCAGAGGCGAGAACAACGCCTCGGAATGATGAGTATAGTGCGAGATCGCTGTGGAAGGCACATGCATCTTGAGTTATGGTTTCGAGGGGGCGGCCGAGCGAACAAAAGGCGCGCCCGTAGATGGAGTGGGAGTGTGCTACTGCATTTATTTCGGGGCGAGCGGTGTGAACGGCATGGTGGATCATGTAGGCTTAAATTCGGGGTCGTTAGTATTTTTGACGGTGATGCAAAAGGGAAGGGGGAGGGACGGGGGTGTACCAGCTGTATTGAGTAATCGACATGGACCACCTTCAACCACTTCTCCTTCCTTATTAACGAGGATTAAATCTGAAGCTCGAAGAAGTGGCCATGCTACTCCAAATGGATTAACCCAAAAACAAGTTGGTTCAACGGGATCCTATTCTCATCAGTACTCTTCACTCAATATCTATAGTCATATCTACATCCACCCCTATTTCAACACCGACATCCATATCCATAAAAAGTCCCCATCAACTTTTCTTAAAAGGAAAATCCCCACCCCAACTCACCCTCAAAGTAATATGTCCCGCAACCCCCTCAGCATACCCCAACTTTGCAAAAATCCTAAACGCTAACGCTAACCTCCCCTTTTGATAGTCTCTCTCTTCATATCTATCTTCAAAAGGTGTTCGGGAGGGTAATTTCATGCCTGGAGCTCGTGCTTGTGCTTGTTCTTTGGAAAATCCAGGTTCATGCGTTATGGCTGAGACTTCGGAGTGTGAGGTTGTATGGAAGGCGGCGCCGGTGTTGACGGGAGTGTGCGTATTTGTTGCAGAGGGGGGAGCCATTTTTGTGAAGGTGGTGGGATTGATAAGTGTCGGTTAGTAGATATAGAGTAGAGTGTGAAAAAGATTGAGATACTATAAGAGAATGTTCTGAGGTGAATGAAGTAAAACGGTACTGCTGAAAGTGGCGATTGTAATTCAATTAGGAAGAGAGAAAGATATGGGAGAAAGAGAGTCAAGTATCTTAGACATGATCATCCACTCTCAACAAGTTGAGCAACCAATACGAAAATATCAACTGCGCGATGCTTGTTCAATACAAATCAAGTCTTTTGATAATCACGCGGAAATCCGGCCATCTTGGATTCTGATATACATTAGAGGGGGTGCAAGCCATTGATAATGAGGGGCATTTGTGGGGTAATAGCTTCCGTATGTGAAGATCTATTTTAGGTACTCGAGTAGATGGATGCACTTGCTCGAGCAGGAACATTTTTATCATGCATGTAAGGTTATTCTGATGAGGTTAGCGAATTAGAAAGAGTAGAGTTGAACTCACTGATACTGAATTGGAAGAGAGTGTATTTGAGCTCGATCATAGCTGATACTTACTTGATCGATTGCAATGATTAGCATCTCTTTGATAACTATTGAGGGAACATGCGAGGCAGTTCGGATAAGTGTTTTACTCTTTATCTCATATGTCAATGACTGAGAGAGGATATACCGGTACTCGAGTGTGGCAATTCAATTTACCAGCCTGAGGTCATTGGACGAGTGTCATCTCTCAAGCTTTATCGAAGCCTTTCAATATCCTCACATTCTTTAGATTTTAAGGGGGACAATTAGACCATTAAACGATAGCTGTAAATGAATAAAACCTCCGGAGGCACGGAAACTTTCCCGTGATTACTAATCAGCAGAGCTTGGGTCTCACGTGAACAGGCGTTTTCATGTGACATTTAAGTGGTTGACAAAACGCGGTGAAAGCTCATCCATATCTTCAAACTAACCTAATCATAAGGTTATCTCTTCTCACTTGGAAATGATATTGCCTTGACGCAGTCATGGAAGACATAGAACTCTCCAACCAGCAAAATCTCATCGACTTATGTCTTCAAACGTTTTGTTCACCATCTCGAACCACTCTTCCCCCAACAATCGAAACCACATCAGAACTATCGGATAATACATCTCAAATTCTATCGCAATGTGGTTCTTCCATTATAAATCTACTCTCTCGTCTGAGTACTTCTATCCGTAATCATACGGGAAATCACAAATTAACTCTCCAGAGACTTGATGATGTACTCGCTCTAGCCAAAGAGAAGTTTTACGCGTTCCCATTTAAAGATGTACCACAATGTTGGAGAGCATTATTTCTCGAGGCGAGTTTATTGAAATTTTCTGCTCTCGCCTCGAGGAGAGTATCAACTTTGGATGAGAAAGGATGTGGAGCTTTAGAGTTGGATATCACGGATGATCAAGCAATAGATCGAATGGTTGAGACAATGGATATGGCATTAATCATGGTGGGAGCCCCTGCTTCAACATCAATAAGACTCTCAATTGATTGTGCTATGGATGTTCTACAAAAGATTCATGAAGAGATGATAGATGAGAATATTTCCACACAAACACCTACCAAACGCCGGAAAACTTCTCCTAGCAGTTCATTCTCAAAACCCACATCCTCAAATCAATATCGTTTTCCACCTTCTTCAATAACTTCACCTCCTCTCTCAAATCCCATCTCTCGAGTGAGCTCTGATGACATCAACCTCACCGACGATGGGACCATGGATAGATTCTCAAAATACATGCATCAACCCCACGATTCCTCACTCGGAGCAGAACCTCTCATTATAACTGGGTCAATTACTTCATGGCCCGCTCGCAATAACAGACCTTGGTCTAGTCCTTCCTATTTGTTATCCAAAACTATCGGTGGCCGACGTTTAGTTCCTATCGAAGTAGGTAGAAGTTACGTTGATGAAGGTTGGGGACAAAAGATTGTTAGTTTCGGTAATTTCATGAATGAATACATGTTATCCAATTCTCAAGAAGGAAAAGCAAGAGAAACTGGCTATTTGGCGCAACACAATTTGTTTTCACAAATCCCTTCTTTACGAAATGACATATCGATTCCAGATTATTGCTACATATACCCACCTCCACCTCACTCATCTTGTTCCCCCGCATTAAAGGAAAAATACACGCAAACGAAAGAATTAGAAGAGCCACTCATCAACGCATGGTTTGGACCAGCCAACACAATAAGTCCACTCCACACAGACCCCTATCACAACATACTAGCACAAGTCGTCGGAAGGAAATACCTGCGCTTATATCCACCTCGAGAAACCCCAAAATTATACGCAAAGGGAATCGAGGATGGAGGCGTAGATATGAGTAATACGAGTGAGGTTGACATGGGAGTGATTGCTGCATGGGATGGTACCGAGAAGGAGCAAACTGAGGAGAGGAGGAAATTCCCGGCGGTGAGCGCTGCGTCATATTGGGATTGTGTGTTAGAGGAGGGGGAAGTTTTGTATATTCCGGTGGGCTGGTGGCATTATGTGAGGGGGCTGAGTGCAAGTTTTAGTGTGAGCTTTTGGTGGAATTGATGGTTGATGGTAGTGGGAGTTCGTTAGTATGATCAGAAGTTTAGGATAGTAATTAGAAGAATATACTAGATAATTTAGAAGAAGACATAGTCTACTCGATTGATGTGTGGGAACATTATTATTATACCGACGTAATTGTAAAAATCTATGTCACGGTCATCCTCTCGTCGCGGTAACCCTTGAAACCCCTCTCTTCCGCAACTCCCTCTTGATTTATACCACTTTGATAATATAAAAGTAAATTTCTCAAAGCGTTCTATTCAAGTTATAATCACTGGCAAGCCTACAAAGACTCAAATAGTCTCATAAAAATCAATTAGCTCACTATTTATCATCCATCCCAAGTACACGAGCTAGTAGATCTTTATAATGCCGTAAAATAACTCATCATTCTTAGTCCTCCCGATGCAACCAACTAACGTATATCATAAAACTTCGTACATCTAAATTTTATTTCTCTTCCTTGACTCTATAGAGATTGGTTATAGCTTGAAACTTTTATAATTAGACTTTCCTGGAGTATTGATAGTATTGATAGGATTAACATCCTTCTTAGTCTCCTCCAATAATCATACAAATTCATTACCGATATGAACCAGTGGAAATTTTGTATCTAGTACTTATCTTACCCCACTAGTTACTACCTTTTGATAAACTCATACATGTCCCACTTCATCAGAACCCTCAGGCCAAAGTCTATAACGAAGAAACTAAGAGCTGCCATCAACACCAATTTAGCCTCATCCATTTCTCATCAGAAATCTCATTGTTATGTATCTCCAGTATGCGTATCTTACTTGCAACGCAGAGGATCCCCGCCACTATGCACCTCTAGCTCCTCAATACAACAGAAAGGGATATGAGTATACTTACACGACCCACCTACAAATTTGTCGTTTGTAGTAGGAACCCCTTGGGTGATCTCTCTGACATATCATCCTCTCATTGCCCTATTGCGAAGAATATGGTAGATGTGGCACGGGTGAAAAGAACAAATGAAATGTTCTGATTCCTGAACATACTGCCTGCGACTAAATTGACATATCATATATCTGGCATTCTGCAGTTCAAAATTCTCATTTCTTCCCTGTAGTGACTCTCCGAAATAATGAAATTTGTCCGCATTCCCAGAGGTGAATGCAGCTATCTATCATAAAGCAATTTGGGTCAGAAAGTCTGGCTGAAGCAAGTGTAGATAGAACAGAACAGCTCTAGTTGACGCAGCGACACCAAGAGTAGATGAAGATGAAGATGAGATAGTCTTGGTGATAAGAGGAATGGACCAAAAGTATATGGGTTAAGAACAACGTCCATAGTGCTGAAAAGGGACAAGTATAAGGCAAGTATTTGATTTTGTCGTGCTGATTCTGGGTTCCCTTACAGTTGGCTGAGAAGAATGTTGGCCATATCGTATTTGATAGGTTTGTGTTTATAGGTTTCGGTCTTGATGGTTCTTATTGAGGACTACAGGAGCTGACTGCCAAAATGCTGATGGAGAATCGTTTGTCTCTGCTATATTAGTGAATGTTCTAGGGGAACAATCAAGTGAGTTGGCTGTTATTCACACATACTGTTATCATTCTTCATCTCCATGGTTTCTCCAATGGCATCTCATCTGAAGATGAGGAAACTTCTGACCGACTTTCGACGTTCCATATTACCAGGCGTAGGTTATCATCTCTTCTTTATTGGTAAGTATTCTTGAAAATGACCAGCTATAGGACATTGTTGAGACGTGGATGGTATTGTGAAAGAGTTAACGATAGATATGTGAGGAAGGAAGTTATGATATGTCAGTCAAACTTTACAACGGAGCTTTTAGTGGAAAGTCTAATCAAGGCAAAAAAGAAATTTAAGATCGTCGTTGCCAGATTCGGTAGATGGTGTTATCAGATCCTAACATTGAGGCATTGCATCTAGAACGACCATTTGTCTAACAAACATCCATTCTCAACAGACAGTTTTATCCACATCCGAATCAACAGCAATAACGACGGTTAGAACAAAAGGAATGCCACTAGCTAATGGGACACATGCGCCACTTGACAAGAGATCGATGTTAGAAAAGGATTTGAATATACCAGAATCGTGTGGGTGCTAGACTCCTTAAATGCAGAGATTGTACATCCTCAGTGCAGATACTGTATGTTTGACAGATCATATCTAACTCGACTGATTTCAAAGTGGTGGAGATTTCCGATTTGAGCCATACAATCGACTTGAGGACAAGCCGGACTTGAAAGTGCTATCAGAAAACAACGCGACTCTGCCGATAGATACGAGGACGCGCGAAAAGTGAAAAAGCCTGCACAGGAATCGGAGCAAGATAAGATAAAGAGATATCAGGCATTGCGTCATCAAGATGATACCATGGCCAATTTTGCCAGTGCTGTCGTGACTTTGAGGAACGCCACAGGACTCCTTGAACGCGACTTCTCTTTATCTGTACCACAAAAAGATGAACAACTCCTCCGGGATTCTCAGATCGTGGAAAAGTTCATTGGCTCGTACACAGAGCGTCCAGGTGCAACTCGCGCGGACCTGATGAGACTGTACTCTGACGAGCTGGAGTTACAAAAGAGGCGCATGCCCAAGCAAGTGGACCATCGTTTTGATGGTAGCAATTTAATGACCGACGCTATCTGCCCCTGGTCCTTGTATTCCAGAGATGAATTCACAAAAGGTTCAGATAATCGATGTTGCAAACACCCGAGAGTTTGCAGAAATTCTTATACCGCTCAAGAATGCCCCAATGGGGCAAACTGTAAGTATGCTCATGTCCGCGACCTTCATTGTGTCCAAGATATAGAGGCGAGATGCAAAGTCTTTGCAGGCGAGCGTTCTGGTTGCATATTGGGAAGTCGCTGCACGTACTATCATTCTGACCCCACTCACCCCGAGTCTTGGGAACTAGCAATTTTGTCAATAATGGCGGCACACCTTCATTATGATGGTGTTTGGATGCGAGATGACAACGATCTCTCTATTTCTGAAGGGATGGAGAGTAGTCCGGATATTCAAGCGAGGGATTCTAAGAATGACAAGCTTAGTGGTCCGGATATTCAGACGAAGGGTTCTAAGAATAGAATGCTTACTATCGACGAGATGTGTAATAGTCCAGATATTCAAACAAGGGATCCTAAGAATAGCAAGCCTACTATCAAAGAGATGAGTAATAGTTTGGATATTCAGGCAAGGGATTCTAAACACAGCAGATATTTTATCAGAGGGATGAATAGTGGTCCGGATACACAGGGAAGTAATCTTGAGGAAGGCGAAATCGAGGAGAAAAACGACATTCCAGCTCTGACGACAAGTGAATTGGAACACTCTACCCAATCCTCCAGGAAGAAGCCGAATTATACCAACGAGAAGGATAAACGGCAACAGGAAGATATGCAGAATGCGAGGAAAATCAATGAGGGTACTGAGCTAGCGAAGGACTCACCTAGACCCAAGAAACCAGAAGTACCAGCAAAAAAAGGAAACATGACGCACTAACGCGGGAGAAAATGTTGCTGATGGATTTTAACAGCCGAGGACGCATTGAGAAGGAAGATGAGAGACGAGAATTCGACGGCGGTCGAGGTAAGAAGAGGAAAACTATATAACGAAATCCTCTAAATGAGTATTACGACCATCATCATGGGAGTTTCTCGCACCAGACGGAGCATTCTTAGTAAGTATAAGACGACATTTGTATGAAGCAGAATGTTACTAATGACGCCCGTACAGATATTCACGAGTATCACGCTTGGAATACATGAATTTCTTTCCTTTATATCGTTAACATTATCGCAACGGGGGTCTGTGGGAGCATCAAGTCATGAGTCTCTACGATTTGGCTTAGCTTACTTATACTCGGAGAACATAGCAGCATCAGAATATTATTCATGGTGGCGCACTTGCACTCAATGATACTCGGTGTCATCCGCACACAAATTCTACTACTGTACAGAATAATTGGTTTGCCAGGCTCGTGCTACAGCGCTTTCTTTTACTTTATGGGGGGTATGGGCATAAAGACGCTGAAGAATCATCATTCTTTCACTTGATGCATTTATTTCATTCTATCAGATTAGGTATCAATAAGACCTCATCCACAAAACCATCTCGATTGCTTGTAGAAATGTGAGAAAACCATAAAACAACGAAAACAAAAGATGCGAGACGTCAATTGGGTAGTGTAGAATCTTTATAGTTATTCGCGACCACAAATGGATGGATAGTAAAGGACGCGATTGCCTAGGAGCGTATGCTGAAGTATCCAATACTTACTTTATGTTAGGTATTACGGCGCTCGTGCCAAATCTTGATGAGCTCTGGATGTATCCCATCACCTACCTATGAGTGTATGGTACCTCACATCCTATATCCACATCCATGATCAGTGATGTTGATTTCTCCTCTTCTCATATCCTGCCTTGCTGCTATCCTGCAAGGCAGAATAAAATCGACTAGCTAATGCCTAAGATTTAAAACAGGAAGGAGTGATCAAATCTTTTTCAGGATAGAAGTGAAGAGGATAAATTGAAAATACGGCTAGTTAGGAATGGATAGGAGCAGGAAGAAGTAAGCAGGAAGTATCTAAAAATGTGCTTAAAGTACTAAAAACGTTTAGATATACTATTGAATTATTTCAATGCAATAATATTGTAACTATCTATTGAAGCTTCGCTAGTGCAAATCTAATCTCTAAAAGTAATTCATCTATCACTAGATATAAAAATATTTTATTCATTATTTCAAAAAACCTTTTTCTTTTCTTTTTATTCTAGCTTTAAGGACGGGAATATGGTACAATATTTCGGAGGTTAAAAATAGAATAGAAAACCTTTATTCTTCAGGTAAATAAAAAATAAAAATAAAAAACTAAAAAATAGAAAAGATAAGGAAGAGGAAAAGAGCATCAAGGAGGAAAAATCAAGATCACTATCCATTGTATACCCACCCAGTCCCAAATTCACTAATTCATCCCTTCCCCCTCGTTTCCTCTTCTCTTCTCTCCCATTCAATACTCACTCTCACCACATACACAAACGCATCTCACCCCCCCTTCCCCCCTTTCCCTCTTTCTCAAACCTCCCCCCCCTCAAACCCCTCTCACATCCACGTCCACCCAACCCAAACCCAAACCCAATCCCAAACCCAGAAGCAAACCCCCAAAACCCCTCTAATCCCCAGTCCACACAATCATCAACATTATTCCCATGACCATGTTTGGAATCAGGCGGGCGTTTCTGTTTCTGAAACATAAAAGTATTTTGTCTATATGGCACAAAACTTCTTTTTTGCTATCTGTAAAATATATTTGATTGATCAGATTAGATGGGATGAGATGGGATGGGACGGGACGGGATAAGATGAGATGATATAGGATGAGATGAGATAGAATGGAGTAGATTCCATAAGACGAGATGACACAAAATTGTATAAGACTTCAGTCCCAATAAGACGAAATTGAATAAATTCTTAGTTTCGTTTCATCCATGACACGACCAAATACGCATCCAAACCCCAGCGAAGAAAAGCATCAAATCCTCCCCCCTCCCCACCCCCTCCCCACTGCATAGGAGTACCGGTATACCATATACAATATAAATACAACAAGGTCCTCGCAAGTAAGCAAGCAAAAAATCTCACTTAATACAAGTAATTCGGGTGGAATATCCGTTCGCTCGAAAGGATACATAGCCGAGCTTTCCGGCGAGCTTTATTTTTACCGTTTCTTACTTTCCTGCTCTTCTTATTAATTTCGGTTATTTGCAAGAGAACTAAAGAGTTGGTTGTGGCGGACGGTATCCTCGTCGTCATTGTTGAAAAGGGAAGGGTGTAGCGAGACGACTGACTTTTTAAGGAGAAGAAGCGATGAAGCGAAGTGCATCAAAAAGGACCAATACTTAAGAAATCCGTGGAATTCAGAAAAATGAGAAAAGTCAGGAAAAGTCATGTATGGAACATACAAGTTACATTACATTACAAAAAGATCCACTGGGGTGAAATATTTACATGGTATCATTGTTTCCTACTACTGTACTGCTCATATTTCTAAATGCTATCCGTACGTGCTGTGTCGGTTAAGACATCCATCTATTCATGAATATCCTAATCTGAATCCTATCCTCGTAAGCTGTCTCCCATCAAAGAATTTATATCCATAAAGCTCGTGCTACTACGAAAACCTCGAACTCGTGTTCGATCGACTGCTATTCACAGCACCCCCACACCAACAACTTGCATCGCCATCTTTCTCAACCTGCACTACAACATCTACACCTTTACTCAGTAGGAATGCTCTTGTTCTGGTCAGAACATCTTCAAGATCTGATCCTCTGGTCGCAACAACATGCATGACTCCTAATACTGTTTGATTTTTATCGCCTAGCCAGAATTTTGGAACAGTGTAGGCCTGAACTCCACGAAGATCGCTTACTCCAGCCAATGTCTCTCGTAGGTTGTATTCAGTGTTGTCCGGAATTGTCAAGAGTAATTTCTTAGCACTACTTTTGACTAGAGGAATTGAGGATATGAAGATAAGAACTGCGATGAGGCAAGATGCGAGAGGATCCCAGCCGGACCATCCGAGGAAATGTATTAAAACGGTAGAGACAACGACTGAGGCACTACCCATCGTGTCTGCGATAACATGCATGTAGATACCTCTCATGTTTTCATTGTCATGGGAATGGCCATGAGAATGACCATCATCATCGCCGTGGCTATGTCCATGACCAGCATGACCAAGACAAGCCATGCCCACCAAATTAACTGCCAAACCCATGGAACTAACAACAAAAAGTTCAAGCAGTCGTGTCGTTTCTCGTCCTTCCGCTAAACGTTCCGTAGCCTCTATCATAATCTCAATGCTAATAAGTCTATGATTCGTTAGCTAGCATCAACAGTATAGGAACGGTTACCAACATGAGGAATACTCCATTTCCGAATCCAGACAAACTCTCAATCTTTCCAAAACCATATGGAAATCTCTGACTCGGTGGCCATTTACTTGCAACTGCAGCGAACAATCCCACTGCAAGTGCTAAACAATCGAAAAACATATGTATACTATCGCTTAAAAGGCCTAGAGAATTTGTGACGAATCCGTAAAATGCTTGAACGATCATAAAGGCAAAATTGATGCTAGTCAGATTAGCCAAAGTCTCTTATGTTTCCAAAAGAATGCCAACCTCATAAAATAGAATATCCTCCGTGAATCTTTGCTCGCTAGTATTGTATGTAAAAGGGGCCAATTTTGCGCGTATGGCAGGATCAAACTTGTGAATCGTGATTTCGTTTCTGTCGTTGTACCATGTGAATGACCGTGATGGTCATGATCATGATGATGGTGGTCGTGGGGTATAACATGTACATCGTTTATTGGAGGTTCATAAGTTCCAAATGATGCCCCCTTATCAAAGGTGGCAGACATGGGAGTTGCGTCACTATATGCCGGTGATGGCAGATATGATGCTGAATGTTCATGGCTTTGATTGTGTGTATGACCATGCGAATGAGAGTGAGAGTGGGAGTGGCCATTATTATCTTCGTGTTCGTGTTTGTGCTCATGAAGAGTTTCGGAATGATTGTGTGAATGACTCTGTAGACTTGAGGTCGATTGATTCAATGGTCTCGATCTGGCAGAATATTGTGAGGATCGACTTGAGTGTGAATGTGAAGGAGAATCTGAATGGCCATGTATGTGTCCATGTCCATTTCCATTCCCATGGTGACTATTCGTGATGGCTGAAGCTGGCAGAGCATATGATGAGGACATAACTTCGTGAATTATGGAATAGGTAGAACGAGCTATGGAGCCCGTATATATTCAAACCCCTCTCCACATATATTGTCGCTGTCCTTCTTCGTCCCGTACTGTTTTGATTTGCGCCGAGATACGTCGGCTTCGGTAGATGATAAAAGCTTTGACGATCGAAGTGGATAGATAGAGTTGGCAGATGCAGAAAAGGAAAGTAATGGTATATATTCGTTCTTCACTTCAATTTTGGGAGATTTTCAATGAAAGTTTATTATGAAGTGAAGGTTTGAATTGAATACAAGATGGATGCGAAAAACGAAAGTACAAGTACAAAGAGTACCTACAAGAAGCAGAAAGTCCCTCGAATAATGCTGATGGATCACAATTCAGCTCCATGAACTTTGAGAGTTTTCCCCCTGGATGGATTAAATGTAACAGCCACCAAAGTAATTCAAATAATTCTCATCCAATCAATTATCTTAAAATGAATCCCACTTGCCTGATTTGAAAGATAACGTGGACAAAATAGCTCAAAGAAGAATAGTGGTAAGACTATCACCCGAAAATTAAGTCGCTTTTAAGCAATATTGCCGATCCTGACCGCCTATTTAATGAATTATTTTGCCGATCTGATGAAGTACACACCTACGTACCTAGGTCCCGGTACTTCAAACTTCACTTGTTGAAGAAATCTATTTGCGACAATCTTTACTTTTGGACCTTTCTCAAAAATGAAATGAAGGCATAATCGGTTCATCTATTTCATAGTTTCTGACTAGTAATCGTTTGGAAACATCCGAACTTCACCTGAATCTAACGACCACGTCATGCTATTACAATAATTTCGACCCATATTTACCATATTTACTTGTTACTCTGCTCTGAATACCGAAACGATATATCAAACCGTTCGCCTCCAATGGCTACTCGAAATGGTGAAGAGGTCGAGCCTAAGATCTCAGTTCAGGTTCTGGTGTTAGGAGATATTGGACGAAGTCCTCGAATGCAATATCATGCTACGAGTATAGCAAAACATGGTGGAAGAGTTGACCTTATTGGATATCAAGGTATGAAAGCATCATAATATGCTTCATTGGGAACTTGTGCTGACAATTGCACCACAGAATCCGAGCTCCCCTCTGGCTTAACGGATAATCCTTTAATCACAATCGTACCTTTACCATTACCACCGCCCATCTTACGAGACGAGAGTTTACCATTCATCTTAGCAGGTCCTTTCAAGGTACTATGGCAGATTTGGACTTTAATTGTAGCTTTATATTTTACTACCAAACCAGCAAGATGGCTTCTAGTTCAGGTAGGATACCCGACTCTTCTCTCAAATGCTTTTCTAATCCTCACAGAACCCTCCCTCAATTCCTACTTTTTTCATCGCATACCTCGTTTGCTTTCTACGAAGAACTGATTTGATAATTGATTGGCATAACTATGGATGGACTATACTGGCAGGGACCAGAGGTCCCAAACATATCTTTGTTCGACTTTACAAATGGTATGAAGCTTTCCTCGGATCATGGGCACCAACGGCTTCATTCACGGTTTCGAGAGCAATGGAAAGCCAATTGCGCGAGAGTCCATACAAGATTAAATCCCCAATATTTACCCTTCACGATCGACCTGCATCCATTTTTCAACCTATTAACGACCAAGAAATACGACGTGCTTTTCTTCAACGATTACCTGAAACGAAAGATCATGTTGACGCTATCATGAACGGAGATGTACGATTACTAGTAAGCAGTACATCATGGACACCTGATGAGGACTTCAACCTACTCCTAGATGCGCTCGTCAGATATGGGCCATTTGCCGAATTTGATTGCCCACCGATCCTCGCCATCATCACTGGAAAGGGACCACAGAAACAAATGTATCTTGACCAAATCACAGAACTCACTGAAAATTACGACCTCGTCAATGTTACAATCAAGACTGCATGGCTTAATATTGAAGATTATGCTTCATTACTTGCATGCGCAGATTTGGGAGTATGTTTACATAAGAGTAGCAGTGGTGTAGATCTACCGATGAAGGTGGTAGATATGTTTGGAGCGGGATTACCGGTCGTTGGATATGACCAATACTTCAGTTGGCCTGAACTGGTCAAGGAGGGTGTGAACGGATGGGGATTTACGACATCGGATGATCTGGCAGATATTTTGCAGGAAGTCTTCAAGGATACAAGTGGTAAGGAGTTAGCGAGGTTGAAGAAGGGGGCTATAGAAGAGGGAAAAAAGAGATGGGATGAGGAATGGGATGCGGTTGCAGGAAGACTTTTAGGATTGATTGGTTAGATGGGATGATAGAGATGTGTTTGTACATTATGTACATAAAATAGACGATAAGTAGTTGGTTACACAACAGTGAAACATCAGCGTACGGTTCATATGCTGAAATCATCAGCCCTATCACAATGATGGTATCCACACTTCAAATTATAGCTACCTAATGATGTTCCCTTCCCATATATTGAATATCAATAATACCTCAATTTGATTCGCCATAGGAGATTTATTGCATCAATAAATCTGTACTCAACAAACCTCCAATAATTGTGCCATCTCGCTCCTCCTTCTCATACATAGCATGGCCCTCGAATTCCAAGATGGATTCTGACACAAAATCCTTCTTCTCAGTCTCAGTCTCAGACAGGGGCTTGGCCAAAACATAATAACCCAGTGAGAGAGAGAGAGAGAGAGAGTTAGTTGAGTTTGAAACTTGGAATACAGATCTCTTTGGTGTTATGGTGGGTTGATTTGATGTATATCCGGCGGATGTGTAATAAGATAAAGGCGAAAGGAGGGATAGAGTCTTGTAGTAAATATCTATATAATTGAAGATATAATATATACTGAATTGAGCCCCATTCACTAAAAACTATATTATGTAATCACTAATCACTCTTTATGGAATAGCTTAGGCGGCTCCTAGTATGACTGTGCCACAATTTTAGGACAATGACGCCGCAGCTTATGCAGCAGCAGCCCATATTGATTTAACCGCCTCATAATGTCTTCTCCATTTCTATTTCTCCTCTTCTTTCTTTATTCTTTCATCACCTTTGGAAATACTCAACTATTTCATCATTTTACAACTTCATTTATTTGAATATCACAATACTAGATACTCAAAAGCCGAACGATAGGATATTACATTAAATAAAGTCACCACCATGGGAATGATTCCGACCTTTGGCCTTGCTCGACGAGGTCTCAATGCTTTTCAGGGCCAAGAAACACCAACTGAAGAAATTCAGATGCCAACATGGGGTGTCATGATGATCGCAAGTACACTTGTTGTATTCTTCGTCATGGATTTTATAGTATGTGTTCACATTCAGAATCACATCCAAGACTAGCTACCTCCTTTACCTTTGGCTAGCTATATTGATGAGTTCAAATTCTAACTATCAAACCAGGTTGAATACACCTTTACCAGACTGATCCCTACCCTTCTCATGGTCGAATCTCCTCAAGCAATCCTATTTGAACCTCTCGCATCTGAAGACCTGGATGCGAAACTCGACTCTAAGGGAGATGTTGAACCTGAACTCTTACTCGTCAAGCAACAACCCATCACCTCGAGCTTCAAAGCAACAATCAAGCATCTTCGCGCCCGAGCCGGAAGACGAAGTCACTTACGTGGTGTTGGCATGCACTTTGTTATGAGCTCCGTATTTCATCTACAAATGAACTTCCTCTCCGTTTTCCTCCCCATGATCTTCGCCTTTCCTATTGCGACTATCCTATGCGCACCTTTCAGGTTGGCATGGACACATATTGTCATCTCGGATCCTAGCCCACTTCCTTGGTACAAGAGAATGCCAAATGTTGCAACTATCAAGAAGGTTATTCCGGCAACAGCTGTCTATGCACTCGCCCGAGAAGCCGTTTACTTCGTCCCAAGTACCCTCGCTATTTCCTACGGTCTCTTTGAATCCGAACCCACCAAGATGACCTCGCAACAACTCACCGTCATGGGTCTACAACTAACTTCCATCGTTCTTCTGGCTGGTGGTCTCGCCTTCCTTGTCCTCATTCCAGCCAGCGTCTCCCTTACCCGTGTTCAAGCTTCCCTCCTCGCCGACAATGAAGAATCCATCGTACCATTCGATCGTACATTCGGTGGACGTGTTTCCGAAGATGGTGTATTGGGTACGCTTGATGCATGGAGAACTTTTGACTGGAACTCCCGTGTTAGACTTTTGAAGGCATATGTAAAGGCTGCTGCTATGGAAATTGCTTTGACTACGTTCTTCACAATTGTCTTACTTTCACAAGTTCTTCTAGTGCTTGGTGACGACCGCAAGAAGATCATCATTGGAACAGAAGGCAATGGAAAAACTATCCACCTTGACTTTTAAGGTGTGAATGCTTTTTGTACCGACAACATAACTCTCTTCTCATCTCATCGACGTACTTACTATCTGGATGGAAATTTGATAGCTGGAATGAGATTTTGATCTCAACTTTTCGTTTGTTTATTAGGGGATAGGATGGATAGGAAGTTGGATTAAGTGGCGAAATTTTATCCCACGATCATTCATATGCTAAACCACATATAACTAAGACTGTTTTTTATCAGAGAATAAAATTGATATCTGGAGGCGATGTGTTGATCTGATACAAAATTCCTTTACTTGTTTTATTGTACTTCTAATCATATTGATATCATGCCGGTAATACCACGTAAGTCTATTTGTTCTATCTTCTGCATTATGCCCCCCCTCGCTTGGACCCTGGATTATCTTCACTCATCCTTCACTCATCTCATTGGCAAGGCCATTCCTTGGCTTGCATACATGCATTCCAACCAATCCCCGGATTTATTCATCCATGCATCGGATAATATGGGGTGAGGATGGAGATGGAGATGGAGATGAGGACCGAGACCGAGGCAATGTTCGGTGCGGTTTGACTTTTTCACGTGCGTGCGTGTGTGCGTGTGTGCGGTGGTGAGGATTAGGATAAAATAGGATAGGATAGGATAGAATAGGATAGAATAGGATGCATCTCCAACTGGATCTCTTTTACACTTTTCGTTTCTTTGTTCTTGTATCTACTGAGTATATTCTTGCATCTTATCTACTCGAGTATATTGGTGAATACTATACTATACTATACTTTACTTTGCTTTACTTTACTTGATATCATTTTGCTTCTTGTTTCTTGTTTCTTGTTTCTTACTTCTTGATTCTTGCAATCAGTACTGTGTCTTGCACTGAGTATTTATCCATCCATCCATTCCTTTAACCGTGGACTGTTCCGATCCTCTTACTCATTCCATACTCATCCCATACCGTCATACACATACATACACATACGCATAATCATCCTATACATAAACAATGTCCAACCCAACACCCACACCCATCATAATCGGCATAGGCGATATAATTAATCGCTCTTTAAAAATAGAAGATGCGATAGAACCGTTGGGGCTAATGCTTCAAGCGGTGGAGAAAGCGTTGTTGGATACTGGGGTTGATGGGTTGGGATGTGGTTGTGGTTGTGTTAGTGGAGATGGAAATGGATGTGGAGGTAAAGAAAGAAGATTGAGGGAGATGGTGGATGATGCGAGGGTAGTGGCGAATTGGACGTGGGGATATGAGGATATTTGTGGAAGGGTTTTGGAGGGGGTTAGGGGGGGTGTGGGTGTGGGTGGTGGTGATGGGGATGGGGGGATAAAAGGGGAGGGGAGGAAAATGAGGAAGCAGAGGAAGGAGAAGAGGGAAAAGGGAGTATATATGGAAGAATCAGAACATAGGGGTACCTCACCAGTTAAAATGATCGATGAAGCGTGTCAGAGGATAGCGAGAGGAGAATCTAATGTTGCGATTGTGGTTGGGGGGAGGCGTTGGGTAGTTGTGAGTTTTGGATTTTTCTTTTGCTTTTGCTTTTGCTTTTGCTTTTGCTTTTATTATTTGAAAGAGAGGTTCTGGGGGTGGACGAGACGAAGAGAGGTGGGTAGGGTGAAGGTGTTGAGATGGGGGTGAATGTAAGTGTGAGGTATGAGTGAGATGAATGTGTTGAGATGGGGGGTGGATGTGACGAGTGAGAAAGGGGGAAGGGTGTGGGAGGGTTAGGGTGAGGTATGAGAATTGAGAGATAAGGAGATTAAATTGTGGATGAGGTACAAGACAAAAATGGGAAACGAAAAAGATGCAGTGAAGACTCGATGGAACAATACAAGAGATGACTCCAAGTGGAGATAAAAAACCCGACTAAGAATAAACGACGCCGAAACTGAGAATAGTCAAAGCAAAAGAAACAATCCCTCGAATCTATCATATTCCAACTCTAAAGAATATGATCCGAAACTTTACTAACAACTTATGAAAACATAGTAATATCATCCGTAACGAAAACCGGTACTTATCCAAAACATTGGACGCCGCCAACAAGTGATCCAAGGAGAAGTTTGGTTTTGCCGAAGGGTGTCGAGAGTATGTTTATGATAGTTTCTTTCGCTTGAATTTTTGGTGCGGGTGTGTGCTCTGCTCTGGTGACTTTTGGTGATGAATCGTTTGGGGAATTGAGGGGATTAGATGGAATTCTCTGAGGGTACGGTTGCTCAACCGTGCGAGCTGAGGTATTTCTACGAGTCCCGAGATGAGTATGAGTTGAAAAACATTGTGCTGGTTACTGTATGAGAAATTCGTGAGCATGAAATTGAAAGAAAGAAACTTTTACCTTCACACAAACTCCAGAGCTTATATCAAGTGATATAAACCTCCCCACAATTTCCTTTCCCTCAAAACCCATCACCTTCAAACCACATCTCACCCTCTACTTTTCGTACCCTCCATCCACTCCATCTACTTTACCCCCTTAACTGACCCCTCCTCACTCAAGCACCAGGCACAATTCACGACATCAGCCTCCCAATCCAGATCTACCCGCTCTACGAAAACGCCTTCCGAGCCCATCGTCACCAAACACCCCTAGAAAATAACACCGAATCGGCAAAACTATATGCGCAATTTGCAGATGTCGCGGCTAGTAATGAGTATGCGTGGAATAGAGAGCAGGCGAAGAATTTGAATGAGGAGAGTATTGGGAAGGTGGGGAAGGGGAATAGGATGATTTGTTGGCCTTGTGAGTTTGATGGCGGCTTGGTTTTAAAGGGGTGAGATGAGAAAAAAGAAGAGAAGTACTAACGACTGTGATAGATCCCCTCTTAATGAATGCATTCAATAACGTTAACATGGCCGCAAGTTGCATCATTACATCTGTTGAAATCGCTAGAGAACTTGGGATTTCGGAAGATAAATGGATATATCCACTAGGTGGTGCGGGAATGAAAGAAAGGGAAAATTGTACGTTTCTCTTGCTTTTCTTCTTCATGTTGATTTGTTTGTGGCTCATCATGGGGGGAAATTGAAAGTTATTATGAGCTAACAAAAATCAGTCTGGGAAAGACCAAACTTCTATTCGAGTGAAGCATTGGAAATATCTCTCGATTCGGCATTGGCTGTTTCGGGATTGAGGACAGAAAATGTTGATCTATTCGATTTCTATTCGTAAGTATTCCTTGAACACCATTGTCTTGGGGGTGGAAAGGAACAAATTATAAATTGTGAAAGAAAGACCATTCGACTAACAAAAGTGTAGATGTTTTCCGGTCGTGCCCAAAATGGCAGCTCATCACTTGAAGATTCCAATTTTAGATCCTCCGAAACCAATCACTTTGTTGGGTGGATTAACATCTTTTGGTGGTGCGGGGAATAATTACAGTATGCATGTATGTTTGAAGTCTTCAGAGCTCTCTTTGCCCCTCAGTGTACGATGTTCTTGGGGTTCAAAGTCATCATCGCCTGATCTTGTGATCTCTTTTGCATGTATGATGGCCTTCGTTATTGACTAACACAAATATAGGCAGTAACAGAAATGTCACGGCAACTACGCAGCAAAAGAGTACAAGCAAGTAAAGACAAGAATGAAGGAGCCTTCAATGGACTGATTTTAGCAAATGGAGGGGTATTGACATATCAGCATGTCATATGCCTATCCACACAACCAAGAAGTGACGGAAAAGGGTATCAAGATGGCAATCCTTGTCCTAGTATTGTCCAGAGTATCCCACTACTACGTTCTATGACAAAACCGCCCAACGAATGGTCATCAAGTGATGATAAAACCTTGATAGCAGCACGTGAACAAAGAATGAATTGGGGGCCTATTCAAGCAGCCTACTTTCCACATAAAAGCCCCAACGCTTGTCGAAAGCGTCATGAAAATCTGATGAAGCGCAAACCTAGTAATGATAAGGATGGCTCGGATTGTATTGGCTCGGAAGGAGTTGGGAGTGGGATTTGGGAAGGAGTAATTGAGGTAAGAGCTTTTAGAAATGCGTTGTATAGGTGATTTCTAAGGAAGAACATGCGAACGCAAATTTTTAAAGAAGTTAAAAGACCGCTAACAAAGTCACAGACATATACGACACAGTTCTCTCGTACTAATGAGCCTGAAATTGGGTTCATAGTTGGTAGATTGAAGTATAACGGAAAGAGATTTGTGGCGAATGTTGGAGATGGAAAGACATTGAACAATATGATCAAGAATACTGATGAGGTGATTGGAAAGAGTGGTTGGGTATGGAAGGAAGAAAATGGGAAGAGAAATCTATTTGGATTGGAGAGGGGCGCTAGTTTGTGATGGGGGTATGATTGCGGAAGGGGTTGAACGATGCGGGAAGATCGACCGTGGGATTCGGGATGATAAAGCATGGGTGTAAGAGTATTTGGGCGATTCAGGAATATTAAGATATGAGTATGTATGGAAGCGGTTCGGCGACTGAAGAAGATGAACCTTGAACATTCGGAATGTTTCCCAGATGAGGCACCCCGGGTAGACTCCGCACTCGAAAGCATATTGAAGGGTCTATATCCGCAGACATGGTGTCAGATGCCCAACAATGATAGAGAGTAACATATCCACAGATGTCGGAGTTCCTTTGAAGCTATCTTGAAATTATCTGGTTTTTGACCCGAACTTTTTGTCAAACCAATCTAATGTTAGGTACGGATAACATATCTTGGGTTGTGCTTCTTTGCGCAGTGAAGTGCATTCGTGTCCAAGGGGATCTCGATGAATAGATATCTGTGGATCTGATACCGGGCGCCAATCATTGGGAGGGACTCTCACTTGAAGTTATCCCGACTCGTATCAGACATTTTTGTCAAACAAGTTTATACTCAAGTATAGGCAGTCAACGCGGAGTTGTGTTCCTATAAGCAATACTGTGCATTCGTGTCCAGTAAGATCTCGATGAACTGTTATCTGCGGATCTGCGGGTCTGATACCGGGTGCCAATGATTGGGAGAGAGTAACAGGACGGTCATTTGAAGTTATCCCGACTCGTTATCAGCTAACGCGGAGTTGTACTCCTCTGAGCAGTGCGGTGCTAGTTGCTCGGCTTCCTCCGCCAATACTACCCGGTATTGGAGCACTGGGGCAGTTCTAGACTTTGATATCGGCGAAGTAATGAGGGGAAATCTTATAGATATAGATATGGAGAATCGGTTAATATATATGTGTGTAAAAAGTCATTCAACGTCGTATCCATCGTGACACTAGTACGAGAATGACAGAAAATGGTTTCATTCGTACTACCGTATATTGATGTACCAGATATTAACAAAATCCCGAGATGATATTCAATTATTCATTGTACAACCTCTCATGAATTGTTCCGATACTTGCACCCTTGATCTTTATCTGCATATATCGATCATGTCACCATACTACTTACCATCCCCTATAGAAATACGACATAATCTAATCTCGATGATACTATTGGGGGCGGTACCACCCTATAGCATTGAAGCATTAGCCTGTAAATTAAGTTAGTGATTGTCCATGGTTAATGAATTGCTGGTGAGTTGTGAAGTGGTGGTTGTGAAGGAGTTTCTTTCTTTGTTCCTGGTTTCGGAGCTAAAATGGCATTGACGTGGAGTTGTTAATACCTCACCGTCGATAAAGATTTTCAAAGTACTTGGTAGTAGTACCTATACAATGAATGAGTATATCCTCATTTTCAAAGACAGTAAGTATCTGAGTTACTCGAGTAGAACTCAATAGAGATATACACCCCACCTTCCGGAAACAATCATTTGAGGCACCTACAAGTACGAGTTACAGTAACTTAAGGTTAACACCAAAATCTCTATCTTATTCATCTGTACTCCATACTCCATACTCTCTCTATTCTATTTACTACCATTCCGCATTCTTACATTTTCACAATATCGAGCATCATTCGTACTACGAGTACTGGTCAATAACTATTAATTGGTCTAGCAGTATATATTTAGTCTTGGACCCCCACCGTAGTAGTACTTGAATAATTCCCCTTCCCGACTCCTCGGATTCAACATCTTCACCAGGTATGTAGTAGAATCATCATGAATGGCCGACCAAGTACGACGATATTCTGCCATTAACTCAAGTCATTGATAATGATGCTAATCCATTCATAGATATATTTTTCAATACTTAAACTCATTCTTTTCCACCATCTTGCAACTTTCCACACATCAAGATTCCTCCTCATCTACAATCTCCCAAATATCGACTCCAATATTACCAAACCCCAGAATTTTTACCAAAGTCGAGAACCGCGGACATGTCGAGTGCAGCGGCGAGTCTGCTTGGCAGGCAACTGAAAGAAATCCAAAAAGCGAGGGATTTACCGGGCATAAGCTGTGGACTTGTGAAGGATAATATTTTCGAATGGGAGGTTATGCTTATGATGAGTGACGAGTGCAAATACTATGGTGGTATGGATCTACCTTTTCATTACCTTTTCTTTTCCTCACCAAACTTTTACGAATCATATGCTAACAATACATATTAGGAGGCAACTGGCGCTGTCTTCTCTCCTTTCCCGACAACTACCCACATGCACCTCCAGAACTAACCTTCTGCGATCCCATCCCTTTTCACCCAAACATCTATCCTAAAACTGGCAAACTCTGCATATCCATCCTACACCCATCTGGAGACGACCAATATGGCTACGAAGATGCAAGCGAACGATGGACACCAGTACAAACACCAGAATCTATCTTGTTGAGTGTGGTTAGTCTCATGAATGATCCAAATGATGATAGTCCAGCAAATGTGGAAGCGGCAAGGTTGTGGAGAGAGGCGCAAGGAAATCCGAAGGGCAAGGAGATGAGAGAGTGGAAGTCAAGGTGTAGAGCTCTGGTCAGGCAGAGTTTAGGAGAAGAGTAGTGCTGAATGTTGATAATTGAAGTAATTGGGTATGGTTTAAGCTAGGAAATTTTCAGTAGAGGAGTGATATCTTGGTGGATGGGAGAAAGCGACATGCATGTCTGCTTAGGCGTCAAATCTTGCAAATCGAATGCACAGCGTGAGCGGGTTGAATGTAATTGGAGCGTTACATGCATTATACCTTGAGTAAAATATGACATAGCGCAATGAATGGATAATGATTTGATACCTATTTACATCACCCAGGATGGAAATTTAATTCTAATTATATCCGTGATCTGACAATGATACTACGAGGTGCGACAATACCTACCTAGGTAGGTACAGAAGTACAATTGGATCTAGTGATCCACTGGTAGTACCATATCCCAATCACAATCTAGTTACACAGATGACTTTGAACTATCCTGCGCCAGTCAACATAGCATAGCTGGTGTAATCTAACCACATAAATCCATTATTTGATTGATTTATTCCACTCAACTGCAAGGCATATAGGTAAGCTTTGCTCTGAAGTATGATCTAGGTCTTGACTCTCTTGGTAATCGCGTCTTGTTATAGCTAGCTAGCTAGCTAGCTGGTGGTTTTATTGGGTGGATGTGGATGGTATATGGGGGGTGGAGGAGGGGATATATGCAGGGGTGATGGAAGGAGGGGTGATGATTCTATTGGGATGATGTACCGGTATATTGATTTTTGGGTTTGAGAAGGGGGTATCTCCAGATTGAAATAAGTGCAGTAAGTTTGCGTACCGGTATATTAATTAGCTTTAGTATTATTATAAGTGCCGCTGGCTGAGTAGCCAGTTAGTTTATCGGCAAGAATTATCACTTCATGGAAGTCTGGAAGATGATGGTGTTGGTGGTGGCTAAGTGGGAGATAAAAGTACCGGTGTAGGGGGAATGTTAGAGTATATAGTCTTAGACTTCTAGTGGAGTATTCTTCGGTTTGTATGGGTATATATGATGTAAAGGGAAACAGTAAATGAAAAAAGAAATGGATAGGGTGGCTTTGGGTGTGGGTTTAGGGGGGGAGACGGATCAACGGTGTACTTTTTGTAGTGCTTGGTTTTGAAGTACATATCGGTTCGGTTGGTGGATAAGGTGTGAAGTATGAGGTATGAGGTATGAATAAGACCGTGGAGGATGAGAACAGAAAGGGTAGGCTTGATATATGCACGATACCGGTAGATCGTAGGGGATGGGATGGGATATGATCATCGAGCAGTTTCGGTATCCTATCTAGACTAGTTGGTGGATTGAGATGGGAATGTGTGATTGATATACCGGTAGTATGTACTTTTAATATTCAGCCTATCTGGTCAGTCTGTGGGTATTCAGGAAGTATTTGTTGGAAGTCTTGAGAGAGGTCTGCGGTGCTTGCGCGGTGTTTATCTAGTCATCAAAGTGGACTTCTCTGTTACGAGATTTAAGAGAATAAGGTTATATTTGCGGGCAATATCGTTCGCCTGACGGTTTTTTATATCGAGTCTCCCTTCTTCGTAGAAAAACGCGTTGTTTTCATAAGAAAATAGGCCGATGATGAACTTCTCTGTTGGTGATCTATTGGATTTCAATTTCAAGTGAAAAGTTTTATTTCAAAGCTATGTCTTTTGCTTGTGAATGATTCTCAGAGAAATGATTGAGACTGAGTCGATAACTTTACAGCAATCACTCGTGTCCGGAGCGACTAATTAGAGAATTAGAACATGAGATAGAAGTTTCCGGCGTATTCATGCTATGTGGAGGTAATAGCCATTGTGCCAGTGCATTCTCGAAGAACTCTTGATAGCTGAATGATCCATTTTATATAGTGATTTGTAGCGAGAGGAAAAACGACGTACTAGTAAGTCGAATCTTTTCTGCATCCTCGACGCTTTAGACTTGGACCCAGTCTGCTAGCGTATAGATTTTATAGAAAGTCAATGGACAATAGAAATGAGTTTTCCACTCAAACCACCTCCAGAAATTACATGAACCATCACTGCCTCCAAGTCGGCCAAGGGAAATCACAGATAGAAATCGGTTATATGAGACAGTCTTTTTTACGCAGAGATGATATATTATTGTATGTTATCGTTGTGATTAGATAATAGATTGAATTGGTATACAAATCTTGAGAAGAAAATCAGATACTTGAGATATTGTTGGCGAAGGAAAAAAATGATATGAATTACAACCTTTGCTTCGATTATGTGACCTGCTTAGGATTAGATCTCCTTTTAAACTAACACTCTGAACCTGTATGGCTGGAGATTGTGTTGATCTCTCCCTTTGTATTTCGGAATCTTTCTATCCTCTTAGGAGCCAATTGCTACTATAGTATACACATAGTATATATACAAGCACTTGACAAATACTTTTCAGAACCAAGTATCCATGTCGAACATTACATATATCATTGTATATAAAAATGAGATCTTATGGATCAACTACTCAACGTACACTACCGAAGAAGTATAAAGCGATGCATCTGTATGACTTGAGAGAACGGGCATCGTTGTATCTTACCACATGAATATCTTTGCGAGCTCCCGTATCTGTACTGGCTGTTTGACATAGAAGTCTAAGGGAAAATGCGGAATGTTTGGGTTAAAGGTTTGAGGGAAATGTCTAGAATACATAGATTCTATCATACCTGGATCATATCAAATGACCCGGGTGCGAAGGCAACTATCTTTTTGGTGGCTTTAGTGGAAAGTTTGAGGAGGCGACTCGGATATTTTTTCGTGACTTCTAGCTCTCAACGGGTACAAGTATGCCATGCAGCTCCAAGTCCGGCAAAGACTCTTCCGAGGAAAGTCATAGCTGTAGTTAAACGGTTGTAACTTGGAAGTGAAAAATAGAATAATAAAGAAGCAAGCTGTGTCGGGATAAAAATTGTATCACTATTTGAATCAGAAGTATTTTCGGATGATATCAAGGTGATGAAGAAGTTTCGGGATGAGGTGATCTATATATTGAAATAGTATAAGACTCGAATTCCTATCATGATGGTTAAACTTTAGTGTATTACACTATTGCTAAGTGAAGTTCTACATCTTGTGTATGTTAGTTTGTACTACGAGTAGCGATGAGGGGTATTTATTGTGTTTGCAACAAATCTTTACATTGCAGTAGATCATAGCAGAAGTATTGAGACTCGGATGAGTTTTGATAGCCAGGCTGGTACTATGATTCTGTGGATGAGACTATTACATTTCGAATGGATGTTCAATTTTCGGCTCTTATATAGTCATTTACACTTGAATAGTATTCGTTATAAATCTTGACCGTTGGTTTTGTGATGATTGGTTTATGGCCGAAGTCACAAAACGAGTATCTGTAATCAGCGAATTTTTTTCATATTTCCAAAAAGTATACATTGGAAGTTTTGAGAGAATAGCTGTCAATCTTACATAGATGTCTTCAGATGTTGAAATGAACTGTGTCAGGAACAATGGGAGTGGTATTTATATTATTATTCGGATCATTCTTGCATACTCAAATCTAACTTGTCGAATTCTTCAGAGGGGTATTAAATGTTAAGATTGTGTATATATATTGATGTAATATGTGCCAGAATTTATGAGAGAAGTAATCATGATGCTTCTGGTGTATCCGAGCATTGGGATAGCTAATGTCAGAAGTCTTCAGAGGAGTATTTATATGATATCCAATATCTACTCATATACTGAGGCGACGTTTGCCAAAATACTTCCAAGTAGTAGTTTCAATTTTCGAATCTTTCTTGGATATCCAAGCAGTGACGATTATAAATCTAAAGAGAGGAGTTACTCCCAAAGTTCAGATATATTCGTACAATGAAGTGAGCTGCGCCAGAAGTTTTGAGATGAGTATCACACTCTTCAGGCTGTAGGAAGATATTGAATTACTAAGTGCCAGTAAACTAGGAAGTGGTATTTGTATTGTTGAGCTCACGATAATACATTGAAGCGGACTGTGACAAGGGTATGAGAGAAATGATTGAATGTTTGAATCCGAGTAGAACATTTAGCTCGTTTATAACGGGAGTACTGGGAGAAGTATTGGGAAAGTACGTTCTATAATCGTGGATTGAAGTGTATTGTACTAGAAGTCTCAAGTGGAACACTTTCAATGTTGGGATTTGACTTGTGTATTGAGCGGGCTGCATGATATATTATCACATCTAAGTAAGATAAGAAAACTTGTATGATGAGAAGAAATTGATCAATGAATTCTGAAAAGGCAACTCATCCAATCCTTCAAAGACATGATCATAAGACTTCAGCCCAGAAGATTCTATTTTACAAAGAAGATGAAAATAATGAAGTTACCCGTCCCATTTGATCCATCTAGTACTACTGTTTAATCCCAAAGTCCATCCCTATGAAGACAAGCCGCTACATAAATGATGCTGGCATCCCATTGCTCCTTCTGACTACAATCCTCCTGGTGTCTGAGCCTACAGTAAATTCTAAGCTTACATCCATCAGGAACCTTCTTTCCAGGCCAGACAACAAACTCATCATGGCAGAAACCCATAGCATCAGTGGTACCACCAGGAGGGCGTTGATGATCTGCAGGTACCTGTGCCGGAGTGTATTGCTGCTTGTGCTTGCAGATTGGCAGGTGTGGACAAAGGTCGGTATGGTCAACCTTGAACATGAGGGACCATGGACAAATACCCTTGTATTCTTGGTTGAGCGTCAGCATTGCTCGCTTCAGTACCACGGAAACATCGATGATGTATTCGCGGTGTTCATCGGTGCTGAGACCAACTCCTTGCTTGTAACGCCAGGGAAATTCTTGAAGAAAGAGATTGTCTGCATGGTAGTTGTGGTCGTAGCTAGGCCTCATGCGAGGATTCATCAACAAGTCTGTTGCAAGCTTCGTCTGGGCAAGGACACTGTCAAAGCGTTGTTCTTGATACCGCTGATGGTTTTTAGCCTCGGTTACTATCTCCTTCACATCTGAAAGAAGATCGCCACAGAGTTCTGCAGAAACTGGATGGACTAATATAGGATTAGCACGTTGAATATAACTTGAGTGGAGTGTAGAGAGAAAGCACTTACGATGTTGATGAGTACAGATGCGGCGTGGGGTAATGGCTGGAGGGAAGTATGAGTACTGGCGCCGAAGCTCTCGTGCAAGCATACTCGACATGATTGCGTTGTTTGATTAACTACAGAGGGTTTAATCGAAGGATTGAGGTGCCGCTAAGATTCGTGTGGTGATGAAAAGTGATCCAGGAAAATCAACGTTGTTGACTGCCTCTTTTAGGTGGAAGATTTTGCGACGTATGGGGTAGCCGAGGAAGATACACGTTATTGGCGTCTTGTAATGTAGTGTAAAGGCGCAAGTGTGAGGTTTGGCAAGAGAAAGGTAAACGAAAGAGAACAAATGCTATCAATGTGTCCAGTTGAAGTGTTGCGAAAAATGGCATGGTATGTGGTCGCGGATTCTTCTTTCTGCTCAAATCAGACTTTAGGTTCGAGACAGCACAATCTATCCGGATCTCTTGAAAGAAGTATGAATCCAAGTCAGAACTGAAGTGGAAATAAAGAGGGCTATTTGTTGTATTTGAGAAGAAGTGATTGTGGGAGAGCTTGAGAAGTTGAAGACTAAATACTAAAAGTTGGATGGAATATGAATGCCTAAACGTCATTTGGACCTTGTCAATTGAGTACCTTGATGGCTTCATGTAATTAAAGTTGAGTGATGACAACATGCCATAGTGAAAGAGAATAGAAAGCTGAAGCTTGATGAGTGAAATCCTTGAACTTTGGTGATACACTTGGGGTCAACAAAGTAAACACCTAAACATTAATATTAATGTATTTGTTGTTAATGTGCAGAAATAAGCACCAAATATCAATCCCAGTGAGCTTTATTAGATTCAAATAAAGATAGAGATGGCTCACTATGGGAGATCTGGTTTCTGAGAGTCTTCATTCTCTTCTCGATTTAACCGAAGGGGTAACAACCAGAATGACTAGCAGCCAAAAATACCAATTTAATACTGAGCATGATAAAACCATTTTGAATACTTTAAGTCTCCCACAATACTTATGATTTCTTTATTGAATATGGAATCAAACAAGTCTGGGCTCTCACTTCGAATTATTTCTTGAACCTTAGAACTTACAGGTCAGTGAAATCATAGCATACTGCTTACTGCGATTCCGCCCAAGTTTGAATATCGAGCTCTATAAACTAACTAACTGCAATCAGCGGCGTCGAAATTATCTATCAATACGATTATTCTGGCTCCGATTTTGCATTTGAATTATAGTTTCAAACCTGAAGAGATAAACGATTTGACAATGAGCTATCGAAACGCGAAAAGCCCTCTGCTCGAGGCCCCCAAGAACTGTCGATCAAAAATACCTACAATCTACAATTATAAAAAGAGATACAAGATACAATATACTGCGACGATTAGATAGAACTTGGTGCCTCAGAGGAAGACAATTTCTGGAACCGGAAATTTCGCTGGCCTTAATGCCGAGTGCGAAAGCATGGTCAAATCAACTCAAGAGCCTCCATTCCTCGACTTCAACAATAAGGGAATCACAAATGGCTTTTATATAGTCCACATAAAAGCCGACTCTAACGACTGTATCGATTTGAAATCGACATGGAACTTCCGAACTTGACTCAAGAAAAACAGTTGCGTTACATCGAGCACGGAGATGGGAAATCCTTTTGCCTCAAGTCCGGTGACAAGAATGAAGCATATCATGGATCTCAACTGCATGGTACACCAACAGCACCTTATATATTGTTCTCTGCATAATGAGTGGTAGCTTTGGCAGCCTCAGCTTCCAGGGTTCTCACCTGCTCCTCAACATCATTTACAACCACCTCAACTATCATGTTTCGAGCGAGCTCAAGGGGGCACTGTTCCTGCTGCATTGATCATCTGCTCGTACATGAATCATCGTCAATTTTTTCTCGAATCTCGATCATACCATACAATCATCTATCGCCGACTTCGCAACGACTTGGCAAGTAAATTAACTAGATTAGAATGCTGGGGACTATTTCGTCAATGAATAGAAAACATCTGGTGCAGATCATATTGAGAAGCCTCGCAGCAATGTTTAAATGAAACGGCTCTTGCGATAGATAGGAGGGATGGATGGATGGTGGAATTGTATCATAACATGAAATGGAGAATGTATTTACTAGAGATGTACATTGATAGCATATTGCATACACAATTCTTGGGCTAAATCGAATCTTACGGTGTTGAAAAGTCAGGTGCTAATGCGTTTGCAAAACGGGTGGGTTATCAAGGAAAGCAAGAAGAATCTAATACTCGTAGCTCATCGCTTTGCTGGTGAAGCTAGTGATGTGAGGCTTTCTCCCGTAAGTCGAGTGTAGATCAAGATATTTCCCACCTGCAGATAAAAACCAACATCTTTATGCAGCGGTATGGTGTTAAAGAGCTTGCAAAACAAGCCATTGATCTCCTTTCTTCGATATAAAGACTTACAATACAACCTGAGAAGCGAAAACCACACCAAATACTCGGTGCGACGTCGCTCATATCGCTAGCCGTATCACCAGAGACAGGACCTAGTCATCAAAAGATCCCGCTGGCTCACAAGCCACTCCCGTCCCCATTACATTTCCACTTTCCGGCAATCAAACCAAAGCTTCCCAGCTTGTAGTGTTCATCAAAGATACAGAAGAAGGGGGGTGAGGGAAAGGGTATGCGAAGCTTGAACAGCAACAGGAGCAGAGTATGGATAAGAGCGAAGGTATTGAGAATGGCATTTATACGAAGACGAAGAGAAATAAGAGGAAATACTGATACCCACCCTTCCAATTCCAATGCTGTTCAATTGCCATAAAACCTTTTCTCTTGACGAATATACGAATTAAATCCACTTAAACCGTGATAATAATGATGATTTCTACTCGAGCATTTATTAATAATAGTGCCTTGACGGGACCAACGAGTGATAAGATAAAATTCGGATTAGACATACATACATACATACATACATAGAGCATCTACTCGTAGAATAAGATATTCTACTCTAACTCAATGAGGAAATCGACATAGATGGTGACAGAGAACCAGGAACCAGGATCCAAGATCCGTACGTATGGTTTGAAAAAGAATGAATGAATGAATATTACTGCCATGTTTTCAACTTGGTTGATCCTCCGGTTCTATCTGCCAAAGGTCATTAGGGGTAAGATGAAAGATGTATCAACACCTGTGAGTGTGTTTTGTTGGTATTCAGTATTCAGTATCTAATAAATATTTCTTCTTGCTGCGGCAGTAAGTATAGTAACATATGTCATGCATGTATACTATACTTAATGAGGGTGATATAATAGATATAATAGATACAAGAGGTTGTTTGTGAAAAGCACAAAGGAAAAGTTTGAGTAAATGTACAAGACTTTGAGTTGAGTTGAGATTTGGGTCATCAGGTCGAATCTTATATTATACGAACACATTGAAAGACGCGTTATTTCTCTGTAAGTTGGAATACGGCCTCGAAATTCATTCATTGGCGCTTTCTTCACTAAGGAAACTTTGGTCGAAAAATGTTTTCTCACATATTCATCAAAGAACCTCCCGATTAGTAGAACGTCTCTCTCTACTCGTAGTCATCAATTTGGCTCGAATAACATCAAGGTCTTCTATTAATTATATATATTTTTAAGCGCAACTGAAAGAGCTGAGCTAAGCAATTGAAGTTGATATCTACATATGTATGTACGAATGTTCGGATTATTTCTTCCCTTTCTGAGATTGATACTATGATTGATGACAAGACATCACTTGGATTGCCATACTACAGTCCCCCCCTTTAGACGTGATAATCATCCCATCTCATCGATATAAACATATCAAAACACCCCTTCAAGAACGAACAAGGCGCCTTGCTCAAAATACAAAATAGCCAAAGGATCCCATATTTGCAACATCCCACCCATTTCTTTACACAATTTATTTCAACATCTCAACCATCATATCTCCCCAATATCTGGTTTCCTTCCATAAACGAAATGAAACTTCATGTACACATGATTTGATGGATTCTTCATATCCGTTCTTGGTCCTACCATGGTCACCTGCGCCTCCTCAAAACTATATCCCAATACCCTCGTGAACAAAGCCATACTGATTGGTTCGACGGCATCCAGACATTGAGCCTGGTAATACATACCAATTTCCTTGAGTCTTTTATCCTTGGGCCAAGGACCAATCGGTACCTTGTAAACTTGATCATGAACATCGACGAAGCCAGCATCGATCATCCATTTCTTTTGACTTCCAGCAACCTCGTCCATCATCTTACCATTCCTGACACTCGCCTCATCAATCAATCCGAAAAACTTCTGCAAATTTGCAGCCTTGAGATCAGTACCATCATCGCTCTCGATATGTACTTCGTGTTCCTGTGTTTCAACCCATCCACCAGGTCTAACATGTGTATACGCCTGACTGAACAATTTCGGCCAATCGGATATACTAGACGCAAGTACTCTCCAGTGTATCAAATCGAACTTTCCATTATGAGAAAACAACCATTCATCTTCGGCATTATCAATCAAGAATTTACAATTTGGCGGTACCCAACCTGGTTGAATGGGACTTAAATCCGTTCCCGTGACTTCAGCAGAGGGAAATTCATCAGCGCATTCAATAGCCCAGAGTCCAGTTCCGGTTCCAATATCGAGGATTCGTTGGGGATTAGGATCTATGGGTGCGCAAAATAACTTTCCGCCGAGAATGAGCTTAAAAACGTGATGCTTGAGATCGAGGCGTTGCTGTTCTGCTTCGTCGTTAGGGAGGAGGTAGGAACCGGATTGGTAGGCATGATAGCGACGACCGTTTTCGTAGGTATAATTCATGATAGATGAATTGAGAGATGTGGTGGAACTCGATACGCTATCTTCTTCCCAGCTGGAATCAACGTCACTTTGGGTATCCTGTGATGTTGATTGGTGTTGTAAGTATTCAGATATGCAGCAAATCACATCAATTGGAGATTTGGTTAACACGGAACTGAAGAAGCTTTACTCACAACTTCGACATCATCATCTTGAACTCCATCGCTTTGATGGTGGTCGTTATTGTTGTTATTGTCGTTGTCGTTGTTGTTGTTGTTGTTGTTGTTGTTGTTGGTGTTGTTGTTGGAATTCACATTACCAGACTCCGCATCATCGTCATCATCATCTCCAGTAAGGGGTTGATCGGGGGCTGTTGGTGGCGACTGGGCAGTGGTGGAGGAAGGTGTTGTTTGTGGGATAGTTCCTGGGATAGTTTGGTGTGCTTGATCTGTCGGTGTATCTTTTTCCGTTGATTGTAACATGTTGGTCGGTATCTTCGTATAACTTTGATTGAGAGGATTAGAAATATATGATAGAATCTAGTCCCACCGCTGCGTCACAGGGATCACGGGGATACAAACTGTCAAGACGTTAAGAACGTTTGTTAAGGTTATTAAGGTGATGATATACCGGTAATAAGATGCCTTTGGCATGAGGAGACGTCGACGATGATTGAAATTTATATGATATTATATTATAGTATTATAGTGCGTTGTGTTTCGTTTTGTGGCCATGGCAATAACAATTTAGAGTTTTTGCTTATACTCAGTTTAATGATGTATGTCCAAAAAAAATCATTATTATTTGAGCTTCTTGCGAATTTTCATTTTCAAAATGAAATCTTTCGAATTTCAATTTATAATAATTTTTTCAAAATAGTTTTGAAATAAAAAAAACTCTTCAATATAATTATACTATTAATTAATAGAATCATTTTATATAACTTTTATTAATATTGAAATAATTTTATTATTAAAATTATTATTTTAAGATTAAG